CATCTGACATAAATCAATAATCAAGTTCTAATTAATTAGTTACAATTATCAGAAATTTGGTTGAAACAATAAACAATATTGAAATTGCATAACTCATACCTGAGCATTTTCTGCAATAAAATTTATTTGTTTGTTCTACATTTATATCCCATTGTATTGATATTTGATAGTAACTGGAAATATCTCAGAATTAGGTATTTGTATATTTAAATTTGAATACAGGAAATGTATTTTTTCTTAGTGAAGAATGAACACCAATTTAGATAAAAAAATAGTTATTATTTTTTTTAATTTTTGTTGTTGAGAAAGTGCATTTCCAAGGCCTCTTTCTGGAAATTATAAAGCCAGTTACTATAAATGGCATATAAAAAAAAATTTATGACTTGTTTGAAGATTTCCTTTTCTATTCCTGTCAATACCATTAGATTGCAAATATTTACAAAAAAAAATCTGACAGAGTCTAAAATATCTATCAATATATCTATCAATATTTGCATCAATATTGCGAAATTCCCTCCCTTTGGACAATAACATAGAAATTTTACAGTAAGATTGGAAATGAAAAGAGAAAAAAATGTTGAAAAAGTATGGTCAGAATGAATATCAGACTAGCATTGAATATGGCTGGATCACAACATCGACGATGCTTTGATTTTCTGATTGATGGACCTTTTTAACAGTTAACATTTACTGACAGTCTGGGATTAAAAAAATTTGACATGATAAGTTTGTTTACCTTCATGAATTGTTCTGAAACATGAACAGAAGCTAATCTTCAAGACTCACTTTTTAAGTCAACATTACACTTTTACACTGACAGCAGCAATCGTAGGCGAGACACAGGTTTCCGCGGAACCCCTCACAAATTTTTTAATAATCTCACCCCAACTTCCTGTTTAACAAATAGTTAAAGCAGGGGTATCATTAGTGTGCAATAGCTCACAGTTCTACTTGTTTTGTCTAAAACCAATTGGCTCATTGATAAAAACCTGGTATGCATGATGTATGAAAACTCGCACAACGGTCATCTTTTGTTTTCAATCTGAAAGATCCGAATATACATTTTCAAGGGTAATTCATTATTTTCATTGAATAAATTGAATTTCTTTCTCAAGGTAATTATTTAGCTCACTTTGTGTCCGTTGTCGGTCGTACGTCGTCGTCGTCTGTGATCGTCTGTTAACTGTTACAAAAAGCTACTAGGCCAAATTTAACCAAACTTGGCCACAATCATCATTGGGGTATCTAGTTTAAAAGATGTGTCCGATGACCCCGCCTGCCAACCAAAATGGCCGACATGGCTAAAAAAAAGGTTAAAATGCGACTTTTGTCTATTATTTTGAAAATCAGTATTAATAGAGAAATTTGACGGGGGCAAAAATGTTCAGAATGTTGAGCTCTACCAATTGTTCATTTAAGTCAATGCCGATTTTTACCAATTTTTTGCGTGTTTGCTTCATATCTTAAAAAACTATATTAAATAGATAAAAACTTTAAATAGCAAAAAGATCAGCAAGAGAAGATCCACAAATAAGTCAAACATGTCCGAAATAATTAGTCGACTCCTTATTGAAGTTATTGCCCTTAAATTATGATTTTTCCGATTTTTGCTTATTATCTTGAAATCTGTAAAAGAGAGGCGAAAGATACCAGAGGGACATTCAAACTCATAAGTCGAAAATAAACTGACAACGCCATGGCTAATAAAGAAAAAGACCAACAGACAAATAATAGTACACAAAACACAACATAGAAAACTAAAGACTGAGCATCATGAACCCAACCAAAAACTGGGGGTGATCTCAGGTGCTCTGGAAGGGTAAGCAGATCTTGCTCCAAATGTGGCACCGGTCGTGTTGCTCATGTTAGTACAAACCCGGTAATAAGTCTAATTCGGTAGTACACATTCGGGAAAAGGGGACGGGATTGTAGTTACGACATTAGGAACATATCCGCTATCATCTGTGAAACGGATATTCCATAACGATCAACCAACTCGTGATGGCGTCCGTAAAAATTACGAAAGGATGACTTCAACTTTACCACTTGGAACTCTTGGTTTAATAGCTTCCTTGTGAGCAGCAACCCTCGATCAAGGAAATCATGATAGGAAATACAAGCCCTGGAATATCGCATCAACTTGGAGATATATACTCCGTTTGCAGGCGCTGCTTGAATGTTGCTTCATAATAGATAGATAGAAACTTTAAAAACCTCTTATGATCAGCAAAACAAGATCCACAAATAAGCCGTAATCAGTCGACTCGTTATTCGGGTTATTGCCCTGTAATGATATTTTTTTACATTTCTATTTGCAATTTTTGCCCATTATCTTGAAAATTATAATAGATAAATAGAAACTTTGATAAGGAATAATTATCAGCAGGATAAGATCTACAAATATGTCAACATGACTGAAATTATCAGTGAACCCTTTATATAGAGTTATTCTCCTCTAATGAAGATTTTTTACTAAAAAGTGACCATTGTTGAAGATGCAGGTGAGCGACACAGGCTCTTTAGAGCCTCTAGTTTTAGTAATTGAAGAAAATCTTAAAGTGATTGTCATTTAATATTGATCACATGTCATACATGGTGGTATTGGTGGCACATAGTTCTAACTGAAACCCCTAGGGACAATCAAATTTTCATCATATTTATAAAACAATGGCTAATTCAATCCATTGTTTTTATAAACTAGAGTTACTTCAGAATGCTCATAAAATGATTAACAAAATGTTGAAGATGGTTTGCAAATGATCATTTAATAGGGTGCAAAAATTTGACCACAAAAGGAAACACTTTTTTTATTCTAATTGCCCGATTTTTAAAATTTCTTGTGAATTTTGGAGGCAAAATGTTTTAAACATTTTTTTTTGTTGGAAGACCCTCCACAAATAACCGTTTGCCTATTTATAACAAACTATGGTTGCATTACTTATGATAGGACCATAAGAAATGGTCAATATTTTGATATTGATTGGAGGCAAAAGTGGAACAACGAGAGTCATTTTGATTTGCAAACTAATTGGGAATCCGCTGGCATGAAACTACTGATTTTGGTTTGATCGAATTTGCTGTTATAAAAAGTCTAAATTGACTTAATGAAGGAATGTATCTCCCTGAATCATTGATAGGATTCAATGTCCGTATTTGCCTCCAATCAAGATCAAAATATGGATAATTTGTTATGGTCCTTTCATGAGTCATGCCCTTTAGCCCACACAAGTCAAAATATTTCGAATTGCAGCTTTTTAATAGGAGTAACATTAACAGTTGCGCATCGTAAGAGTTACATAAGCGGTACCAATTTTACTACACTAGACGCGCATTTCGACAGTTATTCTCGAGATAAAACTATTTGAAAGTCCAAAACCTAATACAAACGTTTAGAGCCAATAAGATTAACAAGAAAACAAAAAGTAAAGCCAAACATTGGCACCACGAGGATCATTCTGATCTGATTGCAAACTATAAAATCCCTTGACATGAAAATAGATATTAGTTTATTTAAATTTGCTGTAAATAAATTTTATTATATGAAATAAAGGAATGTATCTCCTTCAAGCATAGCTCTAGTTCCTTATGCGTATTCAGCTCTACTTTTGGTCATCGATTGGTTTTATAGGTTTTTCAATGTTTGTATTAGGTTTTGTTTAGATTTTCCAATATTTTGGTCTTGACACAGTTATTAGAAAAAAACAAGTTGAATCAATACCACATAATTTTGAAAGTCACCATGACAAATTGGTTTATCGATACGATATGTTTGTGTCTCAACTTAATAGCGACATGTTTTCACGATCTTTGGTAACAGAGTACTCCTCTGATTTGTAAATTTAAAGAATGTCATATTCCCGTTTGTAACATTTTATCTGAGTGTGGCTTTGTACAGCGTTTTTTTTTCACAAAAATTCTGTTTTCCAAGGTAAATTAAAAAAGGAAAGATCCAAAAAAAATGACAAAATTAAACGTTATACTATATCAACCAACGGAACCAATGGAAAGCAACTGTCATATTCCTGATTTGGTACAGACAATTTCCGAAGAAAATTGTGGGTTAAACCTGGTTTTATAGCTAGCTAAACCTCTCACTTGTATGAAAGGTTTTTTTTATAGTTCCGTTATATTGACAACATTGGTTGATCAACCCTAACAGACATAATTAGTAATTGTTTAAAGGAGAACTGATAGCTCATAAGCATGTTTGACTCCACCACATTCTTCATGTACCAAGTCAGGAGTATTTTATTAAGTGGTTGTCTTGGTTCATGTCATTTATATGTGTTTTTTAGTACATTCATTTGTTTTAAATTAGGTCGTCAGATTTCTCGATTGAATTGTTTCATATTTTTCATGTTGGGGGCTTTTTAAAGCTGTCTACTAATATACGGTTTGTGTTTTTCCTTGTTGAAGGCCGTGCGGTGACGTATAATTGCTCATATCCCTTCCATTTGAACAGTACTATGCACCTTTTTAAATTAAATAAAAAAGCCTTTCATTCAGCGGTTGTCTTTGGTTGCTGTTTGTTACAGTTGTTTTTGTTTTATCAAATAGGCTGTTGTTTTTTCGTTTGAATTGTTCTACATTTTGCTAGTCGGGGTCTTTTTATGTCCGACTTCACGGTATGAGTTTTGTTTATTGTTGAAGGCCGTACGGCGACCTATAATTGCTAACACCCAATTCATATGATCTCTTATAGATATTGTCTCATTGACAATCCTACCACATCTCCTTATTTTGTAAAGACGTGCATTTCGATATGTAGCCAGTACCAAAGAAAATACGGATATAATTTTGTTTTAATTAATGTTATTAAATTTTTGACATAATTTTGAATCAAGGAATGTATCCCTTTTGCGCATAGCTCTGGTTCTTTGTCCGGATTTGGCTTTAACCAAATGTATTACCAATCAGGGAAGAGGAACGAGACCAGTTAATGAGGGAGATGCATTCCTTAATTAGAAATGATTTCCAAAATTTCACTTTGAAGAGAAATATTACGAATATGAATATTTTATTAAAACTTTCATCAGCCATATAAATGGTGTTATATATAATATTTAGAAATAGACAGTCAAGAAACAGTATTATAATGATATACTAATGATAATATGAAGTTAACTGCAGCAGTAGTGTCACTATTGTAAAACGTTTAAAATAAATCAACGCTAAAGTTTTGCGTATTTCTTCATGTTTACATGAAAGAAGCCAAATATAAGCAGATTATATTATGAAATCAGGTATAAAAAGAATGTGATGAATATTGACAAATATTAACCGAAAACAGAAAGAAACCGGCCTGAATATGACATTGTGATCATTTAGAGTTATATTGACACATATGGACACATATTGTGAACAAAATATGAAAAGAGGAAAATATACTGTTTATTATAAACTAGTATACATCATGTGTCTGAACTTCTGTTTTATATGAACATGTAACAGCATTTGTAATTGGAAAAATCATCAACATCTCAGCATCAATAGCGCTAAGAAAAAAATAAAAAACACCGGGAACTATTGATAACAACACGTATGACAAATGTTATATGTTATGTTGTTAACTACTTTGCACCCTCAGACAACACTTAATATCGTTCAGAACTAAATGAAAAATATGTTAAATAATTGTACAAACTGAAATAGCAACCATTGTGACATTAAATTCAGTAATTTTCACAACTTTCTATGGGCAATGGAGATAAAAAAAGCACAATGCATATATTATTTCAATCATTTTGACACTTTCAGTTCTCTCTTCTCGATTAGTTAACCATTCTAAACGTTTCTATTTCAATCCATTTCTTGTCTGAAAGAAAGATAAAAATTTCAATATGATGATTTACTATTTAAACTTGTTGTGTATTTCTTAAAGCATTTTGTAACGCACGTGATTTAAAACATCAATTACAATTTGTGTTGATTAGTCGGTTTACTGTGAGGGTCTTATAGAAAACAGTACTATAGGCAGGGTAACAATCACTAGCAACCGGGAATACAAGATATGTCACTTCCGGTTGGGCCATCTTTACGCCTCAGCATACGTTGGACGTATTTTGGTGCATATGAAATTTTTTTTTATCATAGTTTTTTTCTCACTCTAACTGACTTGAAAAGTAAGAAGTTGTTTTTTTGCTACGAATGAAAACCGCGTAATACAAACACAACCGGTATCAATGTATTCTTCAGGGGGAAAAGTAGTATTAGATTACCAATTTGTTTCTCTAAATTGACAGTTTTTTTTATACCAGCATACTCGGAAATATCCGATAAATTCCAACGAATTTTTAATTCCATCAAAACGAATCTAGAGCTTCAAAGTCTTAAATTTGCCTTTTCAGTAAATCATACGATCGAAAATTTGAAAAGAAAGCATCGAGGGTGCAAAAAAAAACAGGTAAAAGTCTGAAAAAAAATCGAAAATTTTCAAAGATATTTAATCTTGTAATTTGTTTACAGATTCCATTAAGAACAACCCTTAACCGCCTCATACGTTACATTGTTTTATTGTGAACAGTTCGATAACACGTCAGCTAATTCAAAAGATATTTACAAAACTACGTTTTAACTTCCAGAGGCAAGTTGAATTAAAAACTAGGTTGGATTTTATTCGCATTTTATTCTGATTATACATCTCACAGGTATATAAAAATTCCGCGTTCTCAGTGCATTTTTGACAATGTATGTATAAAAAATCGCTGAATATAAAAATAAATGTATGTTTAGCATGTTTGGGAACTAACTGTGCCCTCTTCTTCCCGACTTGTTCCTTTACTAAGTATTCATATATTGAAGACTTCATACAGAAGCTTCTTAGGAAGAACGAAAAGAAGCTAACGTTATCTTTTAATTTCACATTCCGCTATATAGATGATGTCATCGCACTGAATAATTCAAAGTTTGGTAATAATGTAGAACGCATTTATCCCATCGATCTTGAAATAAAGGATACAACAGACACAGTTAAGTCTGCCTCATATATTGACTTACATCTAGGAATTTACAATAAGAGTCTGTTGAGAGCATAATTTTACGACAAAAGAGTTTATTTCAACTTCCCAATAGTGAACTTCCCATTTCGAGGTAGCAACATTCCAGCGTCGCCTTTATATGGAGTATTTATCTCCAAGTTGATATGATATTCTAGCGCTTGCATTTCCTATCATGATTTCCTTGATAGGAGGATTGATGCTGAAAAGGAAGCTATTAAAGCTATTAAAATGGTTCAAGTGGTAAAGTTGAGTTATCTCTTCGGAAATTTTACGTACGCCATCACGAGTTTGTTGACCTTTGTGGATCTGTTCCACTGATGACGAAGGATATTTTCCAATTGTCGTAACCATAATCCATCCCTCTCTTACTCGTATATTACATCAACGAATTAGAACTACCACCGAATTTGATCTTAAATGAGCAACACGACGGGTTCCACATGTGCACCAGGATCTGCTTACTCTTCCTGAGCACCAGATATAACCCTTGATTTTTAGTGGGGTTCGTTTTTTAGTTGTGTTGTGTTTTGTATACTATTGTTTGTGTTTTGGTCGTTTTTCGTTTTTTTGCCATATGGACTATGTGGTATGTGTTTTACTCATTGTTGAAGGCCGTACGGTGACCTATAGTTGTTAATTTCTGTCATTTGGTCTCTTGTGGAGAGTTGTCTCATTAGCAATCATACCACATCTTCTTATTTTTATATTGTCAGTTTCTCGTCGAATTATGACTTTGAATATCCAATTGGTATCTCCCGCCTCTCTTTTATTGCCTTGCCATATCAACAGTCAATGTGGTAGTTTAATTCTTTTTTATAGTGTTTCTATTATGATATTTATTTTTGTTTTTTGTTTATACTACTAAGTAAGATTTAATATATCGAACCTGTAAATAAGCAGCAGCTTTCTCCTCACAATCGACTATTATCACACGGTACCTCGTACAATGGATTTACAACAGATTGCACATTAGTACCTGCAAATTATATGAACTAAATATACAATAGGCATCATACCAAGCTAAGGTAATGGAACTATTTTAATAAAAAGAAGTATAATAGACACACACATACAAAAAATAACAAAAAGTGTGGCAGCATAAAATAAGTAGTTAAAATTGTAAGCAAGCAAAACACATACCTCTTTTATTTGAAATAGTGGGCTAGTGATATTCTATATGATTATATTTTCTTAAAGGAGGTTTTTTTTTGCCCCATTTCACACCAGACCTTGACAGTAAGACCTTATTAGTTTACTAGTATTTTCTGTAACATTCACAATTGTCTGATGCTCAGTCTTTAGTTTTCAATGTTGTGTTTTGTATACTGTTCCTTTTCTTTATTTGCCGTAGCGTTGTTAGTTTATTTTCTGCTTATAAGTTAAAAGTCCTTTGGGTACTTTTCGACTCTCTTTTTTCACCATATCAAGTCAATTCAACTGTGTCATCACCAACTGAGAGTGTCCATTTGTAAAATGGTACTTACATTTTCATTTATAAATAAAATATGAATTCAAAAATAAGTTGATAGCTAACAATCCGGGAAGTAATCACAAAAAACAACCAAAATAAAACACGACTCCAACCTAAAAACAGAATTTAACTTTAACAACATCGTGTCTGTTTATAGTTTATGTTAATGAGCTTTTAGAGAATGGCAGCATGCATACAATGTTTCCATCTTGGTAACTCTAAAATATCAAACGTAACCGGTTATACTGATACTTTGTGCAGTAAATATAGACAAATCACCGCGTTATTTTGCGGTGTCAAATGAATTGACTAAACTGACCACAAATGTTCGGTGCGTTTACTGATAACTGAAAGGATTATCTTAGCCAATATAAGATAGAAATTATAACGCAAAAGTCATGTCAAAAATGTTCACTTTCCCTATCCGTTTTTATTATTCATAGAATGTTTTACATCGTGATGCAATACTGAATAACAAATCATACTAACACTCCCTTCCAAATGAGTGAAATAAAATTAAAAACCACTTCAGTGAGAACGGTTTTGTATTTGAGTTTAATTGTTGGGCGCCTAAAACTTTTTAAAGAAATGAAATGGACTATTTATTTCAACTTTGCAAATTATCATACACACTTCATGTAGTTTTGTTTAAATGCATTGTAAATTTATCCATGCGTTTGTAATCTTCTTTAAGCTGCATTTCTTACTTTGTAAGAGTGTAGACAGGCTGATATCTAATTGAAATTAAACAAAAGAAACGGAACTCTTTATTAGAGAAAGTAAAAATGGCCAACTTGGTATATTTTTGAATTGTTTACATCTGTTTCTGCGGGCTTTAAAAGTTTAATGTAGGTGATTGATTTAAGATTTATTGCATCTCATATACGTGTTTATACTTAGTTTATAGTATGGAGCTTCGAGATATTTTTATACTTTTAAATTAAAGAACAAATTTCACTAAACAGTCGATTATGGTAGGTGCACATACATGTGGATATTTTTTGGCATAAGCATAAATTTCGCAGAAAAAAATTCCACAGAAAGATAAAAGAATGATCTGAACAGTTAGTAAACGGATTTAACAATGATCTATAGACATCGTCCGCTTGTTCTTGATATTTGAAACTGAAAGCATATATACGTTTATGAGAGTGATTATTTATCTTATGCCTGACGAAAACTAAATGCCTGCATGGTTATATCTTGCCATACGTTTGTATTGGTTTGGTGGGTGTTCACTCAAAATCGTAATTCAAAAATTGTGTTTGTGAGATGTAGATTTACTTCAATACCGAATTTCGTCTATATATTTCACAAGTGTATACCACGGAGAAGATCTGAAGGTAATATTACTCCCATTTTGTTTGGGTGTGAACCATCGATGTTTACCGCAATATTTAATGAATAAGATGATGATGGTAGAAAGAACTATGAGCGTCATGTGGCAAATATTACATGCATGTCGGACCATGAGTTGTCAATCTGTATGAAAAGATTTCCAATACAACCATATTGAGTAGGAATTTTTACATGCTTTACTCTCGTACTAGTATTACAGGGTTCTTGTGTCGTTTAACTCAGACACACATCTTTTACTTTAAGATGTATGAACGGTTCTAAATATATATATATATATATATATATATATATATATATATATATATATATATATATCTTAAATGTAACAATAATCAAACGCCTATAGGCAATCACTAAAATGGTATGAAGTTTTTATACAGATTTATTCTTATTTACACAATCATTAACAAACTAAATAAATTTAACAAAATAACACCGTGACACTACGATATAACAAATGGGATACTAATTATTTTTAACCATGCTATGCAGAAACCTAACACATCAAGCAGGAACATATATATTAATATACTGTTCCCAGCATCAAGTTAGTGCACGTGAATACCAATTAGGAACACGATGTGTGATTTTGTATAACTAAAAATATCAAAGCGAGCAATAACTTAATTTGTCAAGCAAACATTTTTTTTTCACTATGCCTCTCTTTATCTCCGCTCCTTTACAATAACTATTTCGCTTTTTGTCGATCATTCTCTATATTGTTCTCTATTCGGTAATATTTTTTTCACTATGCCACTCTATCTCCGCTCCTTTTTCCCCTGTCGTCCTAATCCTTATAAAGATAGGGACATTAGACATAGAAGGGGCTCTCTTAGCTTCAATGAATTAATATTGATAGTGACTATAAGTGCTGCATTACTTTAAATATCTGCATGTTTGCCAATCAACAAAAGCTTGTATTTACGTGAAGAATTTTTTGTTTCAAAAATATGGTCCAGAATCATGACAAAACAATATTCATTTCACAAAAATGTTCAAAGGTCATGTTTATAATTTTCTTTAAACTTATTATCAGCAAAAATAGTGGATAATATTATTATCAGAACATCATTCATTAAAAGGTGGAATTATAATTTCAAACACACACAAGATAAACAACGTTAGACACAAATATATGGTTCAATAAATGTTACCTGCGCACAGCGGGTACCTCAATAAAGAGGCCATGCATGAACCTGTATTATATAATTGTGTAATACGAATTTTTAGTTGACAGGATGTCACTGGAATACCCAGGGACGTGTATCTAATATACGTCCCTGGAATACCTAACTGAATGTGTCGCTCTGACACGACATCTATCAATAATTCTGACATACCTATTATCAATTCGGGAGGAAGCCAAAATATATATATAATAGGATAACGTAAATAAAATTTAAAAAGAAAAAAAACCTATAAAATTTTCACCGAACATACCAGATAGAGTCACACATTTAACTGTAAAGCTAAGTGTCTTATATAAGTGACCGTTCCGAATTGATCCCGTATCAATTTGATATAATTTAAAGATTAGTTAAAAAAAAACCACTTTTAATAAAAAAATTGAGATGTCCGATATTTCGATATTTACATATCTATAACCTGGGAACATTATACTATATCAACATATTATGTCCCAGCTTAAACCTCTTCCTAACATTGCTCCTTGTCAATAGCCGTTAAATATCATAATTAAAAAAATGTTATTCTATATCGTATAACTTTATTAATTGAAAAATTATCTCGTCTAATACGGAACTATTCTTTATACAAATCAATGCACTTTATATAAAAGAGGCATACTAATGAATCTTCTGTAAATCAGTGATTGTTACAAGAACACTGCATTTGTCTTTCTTATAATTAAAACTGTTATTCCTCATCAAATCTATATTTTTTTTTATTCAACGAAATCTTATCATATAAGGATTTGATAACTATAGCTATCAGAACTGCTAGGTTATTTTGTTATTAAAAAAGGATAATTACCATCGAATCTCCCTCGAAACAATATTGTTCAAAATGGTCTTCACACACCAACTTGTGCTTGCTATAGATGCAACTATTTGCTGTTAGTTTAAGGTTGTACAACCATGTCTGATACAATTCTTTCTTTTTTTGTGGGATTGGGAAAACTATGTAGACTTTTGTCATAACTTTGTCTGACAGAACAACCTTACGCTTGACAAGACATTTTGACACTGAATAACCGTCTACGGTAATCCCCAATTGATGATGGGAGTTTTTAACGCACGGTCGGTAAATCCCCGATTCTTTTTGTTCTTTGTGGTTTATAGATATCACGTGACTTTTTAGATCGAACATGCCGACAAGATGGCGATATGTCGAGAACTGATAGTGAATTTCAAAAATCGATTTTGATCTCTTTACATAGAGAATAAAAGTTTTTTATTTATGAACATGTTGTTTTTTATGCTCAAAGAACAAAATATCAATTTTTCATTTTTTTGCGGAGTTTCCCTTTAATTATCATCTCTGCCCTCGGCAAGAGGTTTTTTTTGGGAAAACATCTTGAAAATAGGCAATCATCACATCGAAAAGAGAAAGTGGGGTACACCTTTTTATGTTTAGGCTTGTTTCAGTCGACTGGTTTGTCTTGAAAACGGTATAAAGCAACAATATTTCATACACCATCTCGCTTCAAATTCTATTATTTTTGTATATTTAGGCTACATTTTGATATAATAACATTCAAGATTCACAGTACTAAAAAATAAAATCCATGGGTCAAGCGAAATACCTTTCTAGTGAGTCATTATAGCATAATAGATGTGTTTGAATGACAAATTTTGAATACAAATAGCAAAAAGCACTTGACGACAGACTTTACAAGCGGATAAAAAAATGCATATCTTCAAAAAATTCTCCTTTTTTGTATGTTTTATCTAGAGTAATTCGTCTTTATCTAAAAACTGTCCCATAACCGTCTCAAAACTTACGCTTACACTGTTTTCAACGTTACAGCCGCCATTCTTTAGCTTTTTTAGTCGCCAATTTTTGCTTCGCATCACGGTGCGGAGCTATTAGTTTCAGTCGATATACACGCCATCTTGAAATAATTACATAAAGATTCTGATTGGTTGCTTTATGATTCGGCTGAGATACAGCAACAGCTACTGGCTTAAATGAGATAAAGAATTACAGACTTTTCTCGTCTCAGGGTAAGACATCAAATGCAGGAAAATTAACTATGTGTATTTCAGTTCCGATCAAATGTTATTAATTCATGTTCGCTTATATTGCACACTGAAATTCAATATTGAAATATCAATTTTTAACACCTGTTTATTTGCTTTGTTAATCTGTAATATGCACGATTTGTTTAGCTAAACAATGTTCCTATATAATGTTTACAAAAATGCATTATCTGTATTTTATAACCCCTGCCAATCTGGGCACACCCCCAGAAAGGCACACCTCGAGAGTCGTGTTTTGTAAATGTTTTAAATTTCAACAAGCAAATCGAAATTTTTTTTAAAAGCATGGGTGTATAACGTACAACACTGAACAGTCAGTTTAAAATTTTAGAAAAGTTCATCTTAATATATATACAAAAATTGATATTCCAAGTCTAAGACATCCATTTTATATCAATCAATATCTGAAAATACCACATTATCAATACTAAATCAACAACCACATGCACACGTATAACCTTAAATTAGGATAGAGCGAAGCAGTCCACAGCTTTTTAAAAAGCTCAAACTTGTTAACTTCTATTTTCGCTATGGTTTTGATTCGTAAAAGAAAAGTGTTCTTGTTTCTAGATTGTATTCTGGAAAACTTTCTAGAAAGGTCGTCTTCTCTCGCCAATTTCGTGGTGTGAAAGCTGATGATGGAGACCTTCAGCATCATGCAAAGTCATTTGGTAAAACTTCCACCTCTGATAATGTTTAGTCTGCCCTCCGATGAAATATTTTATTAGACCTTTTTAAATGTTTTTTGAACTTTCGAAAATTATCCCTTACAACAGATCAGACAATAGTTTTAAGTTGACAAAAGACATAAAAGTACATTACATGATACTTTTTAGCTAGTAGATACATTTGTCTTTAAAGATAGATTAACTGTATACAGCCATCTTGGATTGTTAAATAGCAGTTCACAATAGGTCTAGTTCTTTGCTTAAATCTGCAAATTGTTAGACAGATTGGCAATTAACGGGTAAGACTATTCATTGGATTAAAGAAAAATCAGTGATTTATTGCATTGTTCAGACTGATTTATCCAATACCAAATATTTGTGTTTGTTCGAATCAAATTATCAACCTAGCCATTTAAGGGGAGGTAACTCAAACAGGTTTTTTAATTATAAAGGAATGATAGAGAAATTTTCGATTTTTACTTGTAGCAAGAAAACAAGGTCGGTGACACCATTTTTCCTCTTTATTTTCTTAAAGCATTTTTTTAAACCTATCTTCTCATATGTCATTTCAAAATTTTATCTCATAGATTTCTTTTTATTCACAATAAACTGTTTTATTATTTCATGAACAATCTGTGCAAATTTGGGCAATTATGCGCGACTTGTGGCTTGAAAAATAGCACGGTGACCAATACTTTTTATTATATTTTTGAAAAAAGCATGAACAAATCTACATTCTGGAAAAGTATAGGAAAATTCTATTTGAGGAAATCTATACCAATAATCCACCTTAAACCACATATGGCATGTAAGAATGGTAATGTTGCTATGTGGATAAGAATATCGGTTTTCAAGAGCTAAATTGACAGCGCGTCATCCCTTTTCATTTTCGTGATTTAAAAAATTAGGTGGCGTAATGGGGAGACAATTTTGAAGAAGTAGAATGCTGACTGTAGGTACTGCAGGAAAAGCTCACAAATGCCTTGCAAAGTCCAATACAAAATTGGAGGTGCACAATACTATAATATATTAAAAATGAAATGAGAAAATTTCATCAAATTATAACGTTTTTTTGGAGGAGAAGGGGATATACGTAACATTCGTACTCTAAAGTGTGCACATTAATTGCTAAATATTTCCGAGAAAATGATTCTATAGAAAAAAGGAGGTGCACGAAAACATTATATGGTTAAGATTGTGAGAAAGTTCACAATAAGGGGGTGGATTAGAAGGAGTTGTGGACATAAAAGTGGTACCCCCAAAAAATGAACAGTACTCCCAATATGATACCGACAAAAAAGCAGATATGAGGTGTACAATGGCTAAGTCTCATTAAAATATGATTAAGAGTTTAGGAGAAGCGGATTCAAATTTGAACTAAAGTCAGAAATTGTTTTAGATATGACAAAGTTTTTGCAAACATAAATTCAAAGTTAACCTGAAAATCATTTTGATAAAAAAAAAAAGAAATAATGAGGTTCAAAAGTACTTCTTGTGAGTACGATTCTGTTAACGTCTCATAACATAATGCCAAGCGGTTCAGGAGCAGTAACTGTTGTGGATATAAGAGGGGGATAGAAGAACGGTCGAACGAACGGATTGATGGTCTCCGCGATCAGTACATACCACCCACTTCAGAAAGCAGGGTATTAAAATACAAAAGTAGTCATAAAGTGAAGAAAGAGAAATTAGAAAAAAATAAGTTTCAATGCAAATCTAATTGTCGTTTTAACTTACTTTCATCCTTAACATTAGATGCTTCTTCAACCGTCATGTTCTTCTACAAAAGATTTAAATTATTTACGTAAAACATTGACATATCATTTCATTAAAAATCTAGCACATTTGGGAATGGAAAATTTGAGAATAAATAAAGATGTTTGATAAACATTAATGAGACAGCATTTGAACTTTTCAATCTACTTAAAGACATGAACAGTTTTCAATAATCGACAAATGTCTATACAGTATGACAAGCTTAAATATTTAAGACAGAAAAAATAAAGTTTTATATGTGGTTGGGTTGCTCTAGTTTTTTTTAGATGTAAATCACCTCCCTTAAAGTCTCGATCCCTAGCATTCCAAATATAGATTAAGCAATTCAGAAAAAATTAAAACCTATAAGTATGTATAAAAGACAAATAAAATAATGCTACAAACAAAAATGATAATAAATGACACCGTAACGAATTATGACTGTAGATTCTGATAGCAAGTTTATTGTTATGAAATTATGGTGTCCTTTACAAAGAAATTTTCTAGTAAAATACCAAAAATAAAATTAGATTGATTAATAATGAAAAAATGCAAGAAATATACATTTCAATTTTTTAAAAGCGAATCGATGTTATTCCCAAATTCAAATAAAGAAATGATTGAACTATGAGAAGATTTTTTTTGTACTGACCCTTAAGCAGAAAGCTGTTTCAATATCAGAAAGGGCAACGTCATTGTACATGCCGATCTAACCGTATCCAGCCTGCCTTAATCATATATCATTCAGTTGTTGTAACAAGATATCAAATGATCATTTCCTTACCTCTCAGTTAATAGCTTATAAACACTTATTTAGAGAAAACAGACACTTCGCACTAAGACATAAAAGCGGGTTTTGTTGGTAGATAGAGTTAATGGCCCTGTTTAATATTTTGGGTGATTCCTGTTGTCCTTTTTATGTAGACTATTTGACACATTGAATAAAAGGAGTAATGAGGTACTGAAGGAAACGTAAATAAAACAGCTACCAAACGACAATTGACAAAAAAATGTCTGACCTCACTCATTTACACCAAATAATCAAGATGTCAAAGAGAGGGGGTAAACGATACCAAAGGATCATTTTTGAACTCATAAGTCGAAAATAAACTGACAACGCCATGGCAAAACACTAAAAAGACCAAAAGACAAACAACAGTATACAAAACACAACATAGAAAACCAAAGACTGAGCAACACGTACCCCACCGAAAACCGGGTATCATCTGAGGTATACTTCAACATAAAACTCCCATGTATTGCCCAAACGTGTCATCAATCCCAAAGGCAATGCATTCGCTCATTCATTTGTATTTATTATTTGTTAATGATTTTTGAATTTCTTACAAAAGCTTAGGTTGTTTTAACTCGAATAATTGAGCTTCATCATATATCTATTTTGATTTTACCTCTTTTAATGGTTTTCATAGCTCCACATGTATTGATACATCAATTGTTCTGCACATTTTTATTATCATGAAAAACGATTTGAACGCTTCAAACCTGTTATGTATTAAACTGAGTATAACTTTTTTCGCATTCAATATTATTTTCTATGTTTTCCCATTCTATATGATAGTGATTTAGTCATATTGGTGAATTTCAACTTATTTTGTAATTAGTAATTTACTACATGTAGCTATAAATAAAAATAAATGTGAAAAACCTGTACAAAAACAGAAGTTTCCTCTCGTCCGACTGTTGTCGTACTGTATCCTGGATTTGCAACAGCTGCCCCGGATGAACCTGCTAAATACAAACAATCATGCTTGTTCAAAATAAGCCTTAAAAAATCAGTAAATGATGGATTTTTTATCAGCTGAACAGAAAAGAAATAAATATAGTGTACTTATACGCTTTATTTAAAAGCTTGCATTGTAGTCAAACGCATAATTTACTTTTTCGTTTTTTTTTGAAGGATTTATTTTTTTCCTTGTAGTAGTTTTTTCTATTGTAAAATACTGCGAGATAGTAAAATTCACTTTATCAATTTCGGTTTTTATGGTTTCAAAATTTTGATAGCATTTTTGGAATAGAACTTAAAAATTAATTATGATTTTAAGCCATGATAACTTTATGACAGCTTTAAATGGGATTTATTTGTGTCTTTTGTTATGTAAAATATATTCAACTGTTATTTGTAATATACAGGAAAATAATGGTGTCTTTCGAATTCAGAGAATCCAATAAGTTTTTATTATGGATATCAACAGTCCATTAATCTATTTGTTCAAAAGTACAGCCATGCCAGTAAAACTTTGATATTGAATATATAAAAAGTATTTATTTCTTCAAAAGGACAGCCATGCGAGCAAAATTTCATATACAGTATTTTCAGTTCTGAGCGTTTACATAGTCCGGAAAATAATAGATTCTTTTTCATGCAAAATTAACGAATAACTTGACTTACTTTCAGACAAAAAGTTTGATGTTCCAGAACTCTTTTCTTTTTTCTACAAAATATTAGGATTATTTTCAAAATATTGACGTATTATATAAAAATCAAATATTGTTTGACAGTTTCAATCACATTCTTGATTACACAAAATGGTGGAAAATACGTGTTTCATTGTTCATTACGCTATTGCAAGGAAAATATATTGACCACATTACCTTTTTAAAGATATTCCACGTGTTTGTACTTTCTGTCATTTTTGATGTAGTAAGTTCTCTCTCCTTTCTCATTCTTGAAACTCTCTTTTTTACAGATTTCTTCACCTGTATAAAATGAATTATCTTATCACTCTATAAAATGTGAAAAATAGATCCACCAGCACAACATTGGCTTCTGGAAAATACTTGAAGGAAAAGCATCTAGTAATATCCTTTTATATCAATTTTTTTGTACATATATATTGGTGATTTACTTTCATTCAAAACCCCTTTTATGAGCGAGTTACAATATTTTTGAAAACTGAAAAAGAAATATACTTCATAAATAAGAATATAGAATAAGGAAATGTGGTATGATTGTCAATGAGACAACTATCCAACAGAGTCAAGTTGACGTGGACTGAATCAAAAAGGTCCTTTTCATATCCTGATATTTTTCTTAAAAATTCGCAATTGAAAAGCTAGATGCAAAATTAACGGGAAGATAACTGCTCTCAGTAATGAATTTTCAATTCTTGAAAATATACAAACCAACAGTCTCAGCCAATTGTGTTGAGTTATCTCAGTTAAAAGTATGATAAACCTTCGTCTCAAAATGGTATTTTCGCTGACAGTGTTAATTTTTAACTTCAACAAAAATACCCCAACAAGGTTATAAGAAATATCAAGTAAAATTAGCACTTCGTAAGGATCAGTGTGGCTATTATGGATTTTTTTTTATTGCTGCAGGGTCTTATTTTCGTAAATCTCTTCTTGCATTTTAACTCCGTCATATATCTCCACCAATGTCAATCTTACATTTTATCTGTTTTGTGACTTTCCGGGCTTTGAAATAATGGAAATCATTTTAATCCCTGGTGCAAAGCTCTGATTCCTTGTCCGGATTTGGCTATACTTTATGTAATTTATGGTTGAATCAGCTCTCCAACGTTTCTATTAGGTTATAATATAAGTTATCTACGTTCATATCCGTAGATATGGATATTTTAACACCCTGAAGTATCCAAGTACACCCTCAGGCGCAGCCGAAGGGTGTACAGGGTACTGAAGGGTGTTAAAATATCCATATCTACGGATATGAACGTATAGATAACGAATTTATCCCTAGTCTTAGTCCAAATCTGGCCATTTTTAGAGAAATTCGACCACAAAGTGTAACGTGAAAGCAACGATTTTTTCATTTTTTAAAAATCTTATATTGAAATTTGGGAATTCGACATATTTGTATTCTTTGGTAGAACCCTACAGTTAGTCGAATATAAGACGTTTTAATCCGGAGAGAGAGAAACTGGAAGGGGTCGAATTTGGCGCTCAATGTTGTGAGAGTTACATCATAGACGGTGTGACGTCAACGTGGGTCATTTGCATAGCTAGGTCAGGAGTTCTGTTTATGGACAATGTGGCAGCCAAGTGATGCATTCACTAAAATGAGTGCAAATGATCGACATCATAAGATAAAATCGTTAGTGGATTAAATAGTTAAGTACAGACATCATGGATAATCTACAGAATTTTATATTTACAAGGAACAACCATTGAACTAAGGAAAACTCTCCACAAGAGACCAAATGACACAGAAATTTACAACCATAGGTCACCGTACGGCCTTCGACAATGAGCAAAGCCCATACCGCACAGTCAGCTATAAAAGGCCCCGAAATGACAATGTAAAACAATTCAAACGAGAAAACTAACGGCCTAATTTATGTACAAAAAATGAACGAAAAACAAATATGTAACACATAAACAAACGACAACCACTGAATTACAGGCTCCTGACTTGGGAAAGGCACATACATACATAATGTGGCGGGGTTAAACATGATAGCGGATCCCAACCCTCTCCCTAACCTGGGACAGTAGTGTAACAGTACAACATAAGAACGAACTATAAAAATCAGTTGAAATAGGTTTAACTCATCAGATGGATAAAAATACAAATACTACAAATAAGTTGGTATATTTGAATTGTTTATATGTGTTTCAATGGGCTTTAAAAGTTTAAAGTAGGTGCATAATTTAAGATTTTTTGCATCTTATATACGTGTGTATAGTTAAATTATAGAATAGAGATTCGAGATTTTTGTAATAAACTTTCCCAAAAACAGTCGATTGTGGTAGGTGCAAATACTTGTGGATCTTTTTTGTGCATTAGCATAAATTCCGCCGAAAAAAATCCAAAGAATGATAAAAGATTGATCTTTTTAAAGCATTTAACTGCATCTCTGCCCTGGCAACAGTTTTTTTGAAAAAAAATGTATACATCTTTTTATGATCAGGTGTGTTTGAGTTGACTATTTGGTCTTAAAAACGTATAAAGCAAAAATATTTGATACATCATCTTGCTTCAGGTTCTATTATTTTTAAATATTTAGGCTACGTGTTTGGTATAATAACACTAAAGATTCATAGTACGAAGAAAGAAAGTATATGGGCCAAGTGAAATATCTTTCTAATGAGTTAGTTGTGTTTGAATTAAAAAAAAAAGCTGCGTGCTACTATAAATGTTAATATTTGAGGTGTATTTCTTACTTGCATTCTATTTTATATTCGTTAACTAATTTTTCAATTAAAAATTAGTCATATTAATCATTCATGAAATGTATCCAAAAAAAAGTCTGACACACCATGTACTAACACCCCAATATTTTTTTTCTAAAAACCCTTGACGACAGACCTTTACAGACCTTTACAAGTGGATCTAAAAAAACTTTGTGTGTATTATCTAGAGTGTTTCGTATTCAACCTCTGGACATTTTTAGTCTGCCCTTCTATGACATATTTAATTAGTTTTTTTAAAAGTTTTTTTGACTTTCTAAAATTCACCCTGACAACCGATCAGACAACAGTTTTAAGTAGACAAAAGGCATAAAAGTATATTACATGATGCTTAATAGCTAGTAGATACATATGTATTTTGAAATACAATTGTCATGTAAGACTGGTAATAAAACTATTTGGATAAATTTGTCGGTTTTCAAGAGCTAAATTGACAGTGCGTCGCCCCTAAAAAGGCTTCAGTTTTCGCGATGGCGTAATGGGGAGATAATTTTGACGAACCAGAATCCTGACTGTGTGTAAGGAGCGCACCCATGTTGATAAAGTCCATATAGCGTGAACATGCACAGGAGTAACCTATTTACTGAGATATATAATCGCCATACGATGGAGCAGAGCGTTTGTTACTGCTGAGAAACGGGAAGTGGACTAGTTATCATCTTTTTCATAGATTCTAATTTAAAGTCGTCCATCGCGTCAATATAGAGGAAAAGATCAAGATATAAAGCAGACCGTATATTTTTGGTAGTATCTTTAATTTCAAGTTCACTGTGATATATGGGATGTAAGCACTCATTGGAATTTGGGTTACCGAGTAACATAACATGATTAGTATATCTGAATGTTAATTAAAAGATATTTTTTTGTCTTTGAGAAAGTTCTGTATGAATTCTGCTTCATATGACTATAAAGATACATCACTTATATTATGAGTACAAAAACAAGCCTAAGTCGGCAAATAGGGGTGCACAACTAATACCAATTGGAATACCGACTGTCTGCTGAAATATTATTCCACCAAACTCAACAAAAATGTTGTCGATCAAAAATTCCAGCAATTTGATGATTTTTGTTATGGAAATAGTGTGTTTCTTCACAAAGTATAACTTAAGTTTTCTCCCTGAGCAATTGTATAGAAGTCTAAATAGACGCGGAGAGCACGTTTGCTAACGTTTAACAAAAGAATCACACCTGAGATCATCCCCAGTTTTTGGTGGGGTTCGTGTTGCTTAGTCTTTAGTTTTCTATGTTGTGTCTTGTGTACTATTATTTGTCTGTTTGTCTTTTTATTTTTTGGCCATGGCGTTGTCGGTTTGTTTTCGAGCTGTGAGTTTGACTGTCCCTCTGGTATCTTTCGTCCCTTTTTTTTAACAAAAGAATCACACTGATACATTCGTCCCATGATTTAAAACCCGAAAAACGACTATACGACTGTTTAATATCTTTTATTTCAGAAACATGAGCTGAATATTACTGCTTTCTTTAATTATGCTATACTTTCACTCTGGTGACATATATCTTTATTTTACTTATTTTTTTTTTACATTCGAACTTTGCCCACGTATTTCTTTTTAAAACCTGAAGTATACAATTCGGTTGCTGTTTTTACAGCAATTATTTCTTGTAAAACTTACATTCTGATTATATATTCCGTGCAGAATAAATATAAACAAGCCCTAGAATTAAAAAAAAATATATATTAGAATGGAAGTAAAAGAAATTTATATGCAGATATATAACAAAATAATAATATTCTTATTCTACATATTTTCTAAATAAATAAAAAAAAACGTTTAGCTCCATGAAAATACACTAGAATATGTTCGACAAACTTACAAGGCAATTTTATTGCCCCTTATCAACGAAATAATCACTGATCAGTTGTTATAAAGAGATAGAGAGTAAACGTCAAATATCGGGAACGATACTATTTGTGTGTACAAATACGGTATTCTGAGATAAGTATGTGCAGTCAAGTCTGTTTGAAATGACCTTAAAATGAAGTCACACAAGAAAAGTGAAATTTTAATGCAGGTTTTGTCTTTTCGTTAAGAATAGAAAATTCTATTCAATATGAATGCAGCAATTTAAAATTGATATATAATTGTTTTTAAGATAAAAGTAAGATTCATTTTGATGAAAAAAAAAATCTATCATTTCTACTTTCAAGTGTTTCTCGAAAAAAAATTTTAAAATGTGTTTTGACGTTGCTATGGTGGCAAACAATAATTTTACAAATGAAAATATAATGAATCAGTAACCAGGGACCTTTTTAATTTATGATCAGTCAAGTCATCGATTGAAAATAAACCCTTTATTTTTCAAAGAATTTTGTTCAGGTGAAAATCATCATAATCGTGATCTTGTTAGAATTAAAAAAAAGAAAAAGGTCAATTATGACTAGTCACTTGCCAGATAGTCAGATAGGTAATTGGCGCCTCCAAACATGTTTAACCCCGCCACATTCTGTATGTGCCTGTCCCAAGTCAGGAGCCTGTAATTCAGTGGTTGCCGTTTGTTGCTGTATATCATATTTGTTTTTCGTTCATTGTTTTGTACATAAATCAGGCCGTTGGTTTTCTCGTTTGAATTGTTTTACATTTCTCATTTCGGAGCCTTTTATAGCTATGCAGTTTTGGTTTTGCTCATTGTTGAAATCCGTACGGTGACCTAAATATAGTTGTTTATTTCTATGTAATTTGGTTTCTGGTGGAGAGTTGTCTCAATTGCAATCATACCACATCTTCTTACTATTATAATCACTGTATGAAGATGATTTTCAATTATATTATGTGATTTATGGACGCTTAGATAGGTTCAAAGTAAACACTTGTCATTCAACCTTGGTATCATGCCCTCTTAAAAAAACCCGTCAAAACTGCCGTAAATACATATAACTTTCTACGATTATGTACCAGTCAAAAAGGTAAATAGAATACATATCATCTTCATCATCAACTGTTTGTAAACATGACTTCTAAATGTTTTATTGTTAAATAAATGGATACGTCTTTACCTGTATTGTCTATGCACTGGACAACAACTAGATGCCCGTCTTTTGTAACAATTATGATATATTTAATTGATCAAAAAAATATTCGATAATCATTATTTCATTCAATGCCATTTATATAAATAAATCATGACTTCGAATCTGATTAAGGAAAAGATAATTACCTGTAAAGAGTTGAAAATTACAAATAAGTAGCTGAACAAAACAGTACTTTTATGGAACGAAAAAACACCAAACAACCAGGTTAGACCAAACACAGGTGATAAGATGGCAATACTTCGGACTCCAGATCTACAATAAACCTTCTGATAAAACATTTTTTATTATTGTTTAAATATTTATAACCAAATTTTATACTGTTTTCAACGGTGCTTTTTTTTCATTCAGATTTAATAATATGTATTCTATGAGATTAAAAAAAGGATTTTTGTTTATTATTTTTTTCTATTGTAGATTTAATTTACAAGTTTGCAAAAGCAGAGCACTTGGGTAAAATAGCACATTATGATTATAATTTGAATTATGCTTGTTTACAAAACAGAAATAAAGGCTGTATTATAATGTATTATTAATATAGATGGGATTTTTCTTTCGAGAAAAAAAAAACATTTGACTTGGCTATAGTTTTTGTTTTGATTTTTTCATCAACATTTATTGAATTTAATTAAATGACTGCATTGCCATTCAGGTCAGTAGCATTTAAACTTACATTAGCTTTTCTTTTTTTGTTTTGCTCATTGTGGCCCGTGTTGAAAACAGTTTCCTCATAATCAATCCAGTTATTACCAAATTCGACTGAAAATATAAACAAAGAGCAATGAAAAACAGCATTTTAACTTTGCTGAAATAATACATAGTTTCTAAGAAGTAGTTTTATACAAATAAATACAGTTACACCCTCCGAAACGTGCAGTCTACCAGCATTTGTATCACAACCTTTTAGGATACCGAATTTATTTGATGTGCCATGTGTGTATTTATAAAATTCATTCATCATCAATAGTGCTCTGAATCGAAAAGATGTTGGAAATCCAAAGTTAAAACGTTGAAGATAATATGACACCAGAAAGGATAGTAATTCAGCTGTTATGTGAACTGGTTTTTAAAGGCCCTTCTTCTTATGTTCAACTTTCCTATTGATGTATAGTATGTTTTAAATACGATATAATTGAGTTTGTTGTGAGTAATAGCTTGAGTTTCGTGTTTTCCACAGTAATCTTTTATTAAACGCGATATAAAAAAATATTATTGCAAACATAAATTTATCTAATTTATTATACTTACTATAATGACAGCTAAACATGGCACAAAGAAAGCATATATCAATCCATTTTCCGTTGACAACCAGCAACTGTTAAATAAAGACATACCCTTAGTCAATGTTAAATGTATCTGAATTGATTGAATTATGTCAGTGAAAATATTGCCGCGATTTTGATCCAACAAGAAAAAGAATTTAGAAAGTCTTGACTTTGATTGGAAAATTCAAAGCTAAATGAAACATAACATATCTCTATGAAAATAATACGCTAAAATAAAATTCTGTTTGTTAATTGGGATTTGATTCTGAACGGGGTTGTTACATGACCACTTCACTTATATATGAGCTAACATACATAAAAGTTCTGAAGCTGTCTACTTACAATTTACTTGTTCCATATCCTTCTAACTTGGTGACACTTGCAGAAATAAGAACTATCATAAAAGGAATACCTATAATGATAGAACATAATTTGTGTAAGTATGTTTTTTATTGTTTAAATATCTTTAATAATGAAGAGCTATAAAGTTTCAGCAAACAAAATGTGTTGATATTAAGTGCCCTAATATTAGAATTATCAATGTATTCATACGATTGATGTCTGCTTGTGATTTTTTATAAAGACTTAGAAAATGTTTATGTTGCACTCAGAAACGTGTCCAATCTTTCCCATTAAACGTGTTCAGCCCCCCCCCCCCTAAAAAAAACCCAAAAATATCCATATGACGTCAATATACGACCAAGCATGTCTATTTGGTGTAGGATGTCGAAACTTGTCCGTTTCTTAAACGTTCAATCATGTCCAATTGTAAAAACATCCAAACGTGTCAATCTTTATGAAAAAAGCTATTTGTTTTCACATATGTTGTTTCAAAACAAATTCAGTCGATATTACTAAAAGGACCTCTATAGACTCAGTTTAACAATAATCAAATAGAAAAATACTCGATTACGTTATCTGATGTTCTTCCTTCGTTGAAATGTATGCATGAGATGATTATTTGCTGTTGTAAATAAGGAGGACAGTAGCTCTTTATAGGGCTAGGGCTCCAGGATGTGAAGGAAACAGTGAACATGGTGTCAAATAAGACGTGCGAGCGCTGTTCTGTTTAGAATTGCTAAGTCAGAATACTGTGTCGGGACTGTTTTTCATGAATTCTATTTTTTCAATCTCAGTTATACAATATTCGTTTTTAACAGGTCGGCTTTTACCAAATACAAATATTGATTATCTATCATTTTTGTGCTTGTTTGCTTAATTAATAAACGAACTTTGATAAACCTTAAAATAATAAATCTTAAACTTGAGTAATTTCAATCAAATATCTTTTGGTTTTACTCTCTCATTGATTGAACTTTAAACTTTACATTTCCCTCCATCTATTCGTTTTATGGCAACCGAATTTGTCCTGTTAATCAAAATGCATATGAAAGTCAAAATAAAGTTTCACATTTGAAATAGGCTCAATTCACAGTTTACACCTCTTACCATCTCAGTAATTTTACAAGGATTTTTTTGGATTTTCTTCTTCGGGAATAGTGCCAAAAATACCTCTGCATTGACATTCTTGGATAGCGGTTTTGATCTTTTTTTTATATTAAACTCTAGCAGAAACCCGACGTCTTCAATCGTGTGCCCAATATTACATTTGCCGTAAACGTTTTAATAAGACGTCACAGAGGACATGTAAACGCTAAAAGTTTGAAACGTTTTGATATCTTGAAGTTGACGACAGTACACTCATGTATAAAGCATAATTAATTACGTCACATTATCCCCGTAAGAATATGACTTAGATTCATACCTTGAACTATATGATTTAAATTCATACCTTGAAGTGTCCCGTGGAGGAGAAAACGTAAGGATGATTGTGTTTTACTTTCTACTTTCCTGATATTTATGTGTTTATAAGTAAATAATTTTGTACTCTAACTTGCATCTTATTACAGAAATACAGAAAATAAAATCATATTAAAAAGTAATGATAGCTTAATTGCAAACTGAATATCTTTAAAAAAAAATACAACTCAGAAATATGCGCGATTTCCATCTGAAGTGGTCACAACTTTGAATCAGATGGTTTAATATTTCAAAGTAGGCTTATCAGTTTTTATGTATTATCCTTCTGAAACCATCTCTTAATCGATTTTGCGAGTGATAAACAGATGACTAATACTGTTGTATATAAACCAAGCAGTTTTACCAAATATCAAAGGAATTAGAATTCTGTTGATGGATCTCCGCTGTGGGAACACCGCCACAACTAATACTGCATGAATTATCCCTTCCGCCAACATGGTAAACAAAACAATCAGGAAAAGAAAATGAAGTAACAAGGCAACAGCTGTACACTCATCCTATTTGAATTAAGAAAACAATCATTGTTTTGATATCATATAGCATACTTTATACGAAAATATAATAGGTAATCCAATTTTCAATAGTCATTCTATCATAATATCTAACATAGAAAAGGATACTAAATGTTTAAAAAAAAGTCTTGATGGTGTGTCCTCAAAGTAAACAATACGTTACTACATGAGACATAATTTCATTGTTCATTAGGAATCAAGCAAACCTAAATTATACTTTATTTTTATCAAAATATGTCATAACCAGGTTTAACAATTTAATAGGACTTATGATGAAAAAAAAATTACAATATACAATGATCGTTAACTAATATCAACTTGTAAATATAGTATAATGGACGTTCATGAAACGACAGCAGATATTTCCAATGAAATGACACACGGACATAACTCAACGTACGGACCTAATGGGATCGGTTATTGTCTACCTAAGAATTTGCTTAAATACATTAAACTAAGTATTCAAACACTAAAAAAACAAAACACTAGAACTTTGTCAACATTACATAATTTTAGAGGATGAAAAAAGATAGAAATCCTGTTTTTTAAGGGAACTACCATTTGATGTTTATGGGGGGGCTAGGATAAAAAATGTTATCCTGCATTTTTTTTAGTTGTAATGTCTGTCCTGCCTTTTTATTTTTCATTCGATTCGGTCCTGCCTTTTTTTATTAGTTTATCCTGACTTTTTTTACATAAATTGTCATCCTGCCTTTTTTTTTTTGCCAAGTTGTTCATCCTGCCTTTTTATTTACTCAAAACTCCTGTCCTGCCTATTTTTTTCAAATTTCATCCTGCCCCCCCCCCCCCCCCCCCCCCCCCCCCCCCATAAAAATCAAATGGTAGCTCCCTAATCATCACGTGATTCTCAAGATTCTCGCCTAAAATTTGCATAATCATAATCACGTATATACACATATCCCATACATATCATAGCGATTGATTTGAGTTATATTTCATGGTCTTGAATAATACAATTTGTTTACAATATACTATACAGACAGATGTTCCATGATAATGAAACGTAAAGGATTCTTATAGAAGAAAGAATGTGTTCAGCTAAACCATAACATAAAACCGATTATAGTTCGCCTTCAAACTAGGCGAATTTCTCATAGATAATTCTAAATATAAGTTGAATTTGGCACGATACGGACGAACAGACGGATGCACAGACCAGAAAATATAATATCCACCTGCTAGCATGAATTGGGCATAAAACTAAAAGATTCTAATAAACAAAACCTGCTGACAAATATTCCATACATGTCCGTTTTTTTCAGAAGTATTTGTTTCAAAGTAAAAGCATTTCATAAAAACAATTTGTGAGCAATGACGTAAATTGCACATAAAGACTCTTCATAGCACCCATGCATCATATTATGTATTTTATATAAGTAAAGAAAGAAGAAGTAAAATAACAACTGATTTGATAAAGTGTAATGATTTTTTTTCTTGAAGATGCATCCTTATAAATTCCCTTTTATAAAATTCTACGTAAAGATGACTATGTAGTTGCTGATAAATGCATCAATGATCTGAATTTCTGCATCTGACAGAAGTATCTTGAATTAATTACAGAAATATGCTGAAATAAGAAGCAAGTCGAATACACGTTTTAGTTTCAGGTGTGTTTGAAACTCCTGGTTTAACCTTATAACTTAAAAATTAAAAAATAGAATATCATCTCGCTTAAGAATTCATAATTTTTATTTTTTTAGACCTAACTTCAACTTAGTAGTTTTAAGGATTCATCCTTTGAGAAGAACTAAATATAAGGGTCAAGTGAAATGACCAAGTAATAATGGTGCATTTGATTACACGTAGCTGGATTAATTATTCCCTTAAAATGTTGTTGCCAATAAAATCCTCTTGCATGCAATAACAAAATATGAAGATATTTAAAAGATTTAACAAAGCTGTTTGGGTTAATATTAAAATTTATTCGATTCCAGCACAATATGTCTATTCAACTAACAAAATATTCATGCAGTCTATGCACCCGTCCGTCAAGTTTCAATGCAATAGGCCGAGATACGTTCAAATAAGTTGGTTATGTGGAGTAATATCGTTTTGTTGGAAATCTCTATCAAGACGCAATCACAGACATTAAAGAAATTGACTTCTTTTGAACTTTGGTGGATAGTTGTCTCATTGGCAATCATCTGAATCTGCTTATTAATATTAATACACGAATAAAAGAACAATGTCTTCCAATAGTAAGATTTAGTTTTAAATAGAATAACTAAACAAATGATACCGATATGAGTGCGTAAGAAATTTGGTTCCAAAAAAAAATCTTCATCAGGTTTATTAGACACCAAGAGCTAGAAAAGTCCAATAGACAAATATTGAAACTTGAATAGCCGATATCGTCTGTCAGCTTGACAAGAAAGCGTTTTTACATTGTCTTAAGTACAAATACCTGATCAACTGAACATTTGATATCAGTACTCGAATCGTGAAACGTATTGTAAAAAACTATGTACTAACATTAACATCAACGGTACCGATTTTACTACACCATATGCGTATTTCGACAATTGAGTCTTTTCACCCATAGACCCGTTTCTTTTTGTTTAAGTTAGCAGTTATACATGTACGTTGTTAATAAAAAGAAATTAATATATAGAAATACTAAAGTCACTCAAGCATACAATAAAGAGTTTGGCGTTCTGCGACTCAGTTGATGATAATTGTAACGTTAAATTATCACTTTTAATGTCCATCAATAACTTGGATAAGATTAGCCGACAAGAGTTTGTATATATTTTATGCATTTAATAACAGTCACAAGGTAACTTCAAAATAAAATGTGTACATAATGTTGTTTTAGTTCTGATACATTCCTCACTGATCATGAATATAGTTTATGTTTTAACATTTAGTTTTTTTTAAACAGTGAAACATTCTGATATAATTTACGGATTTCCTGGTATTCTTTTCAAAAAGTTGTTTGTTTCATGAATGCAAAAAGCAATTGCTAACAAAGATCATTTGATGCAACTTGAATAAAAAAAGAAAAGAATCACAATACAGCTATATCACGGCTGTCATTCGGTATATCGAAAAAAATGATCGCGAAAGAATAAGTAACGGTGGTCAAGTATTGCGATTGGATCGTGAAAGATCTGGTATAGGATCGAGAAGGAAATCTTATCGAGAAGATACACGCAACATCAGTAAATAATCTAATTTTATCAATAATAATGACAAATATTGAAAAATTAAACTGCCTGTCAAAATGAGTTCAACATCATGATCAGTATCCGAGAAAAATTAAGTTTTAAAAGTACACCGTTTTTACAAAACTACAAAAGGCAGATTGCACATCGAAATTTCAAAGAAATAAAAATGTAAACAAACATGATTTTTTCAAAATTTTAATGCATAAACTACTTTTCTCTCTATAAAATATCGTTCAATATTACTGGTTGAAATAGTTCTTAAAGTTATTTTGTTTTAGTTTAATCAGGAACTTTGCAAAAATGGTAATATTTGTAAAAGTTTGATATTTCGGATCGTGAAAGATCAGGTACTGCATTTTGATGATCGTGAAAAGGGTCGTGAAAGATCTGCTGCCGCTTATTCGTTATTCATTTTTTCCTTAAACACATGATAATTTATATTTTTAATTGGTATAACAAAAGATTGGATTTGCATGACTTATTCTACTTCACTTTTGTTTGTGAATAGGGCTATGATGGTTCAATGAAATTGGATCTGATTATTTGATAATACCACACCGACTAGTTTTCTTATAACAATATAAGTCCGTCTGTCCTTCCTGCATAAGGTTTATGTCGTTTGAAAAGTTAAGATTGGCTCTTCTAATTTCATTTAAATTTTATGCACTGTCATATATATAAAACGAAGATCCTTTGTTGATTTAAAATAAACACTGTGTAAAAAAAAAACGCAGAAAAACATCCTGACTTGGCACATGCATTTTTTTTTAAAGAAAATGGTGGGTTAAACCTGTTTTTCTAGCTAGCTAATACGCCCACTTATATGACAGCTGTTTAATGTTCAGTAATATTGCCAAATTGGGTGAGCAACCCAAACATGCATACTTGGTTAACATGGCAATAATTGGGATTCAGCAGCCAAAACTGTGTAAACACACATCACAGGCACACAACACAACTAAATTAAACGTTCAAACACACTTACAATTAAATCAAACAAAGACGCCAACAAAACAGTTTATGCAGTTGACAATACAGTCAGTATAGTACAGCATAATTACGGAGCCCCTTAAGTGCAATATAGATATATATATATATTTCAGATTCCCAGAGAATTAATCTGGTGTGCACCAGTTTGAAAAATCCTGCGCGCGACTTTTCAGCTCTTGCGCACGACTTTCAAACTTGTGCGCATGACTTTCAAACTGGTGCGCATGACTTTTAACCTGCCTGCACGACCTTTAAAATGGTAAGCACAATTTTCAAACTCGTACACACGACTTTAGAAAATGGTGCGCACGACTTTGAATCACATGCGCATCAGTTTGAAAGTCGTGCACACCATTTTTGAAATGTGATGTGCAAAACTTTTTAAAAACTGGTGCGCACTACTTTGAAACTCGTTAATTTGCGTTCTTAGTAAGTAATGACACACATCAACCAATTATTACAAGAATATCAATATTGGTAAAGAAATGTTGTTTCTGATAATTAAGTCTGGCCACGCCTTGTCTTTCATGATCAAGATAATGCGTTGAATGATCTTTCACGATCAAGTTTGATTAAAAATCAACAAAATTATACTTTTTCAAAAATAATATGAATTTTTTCAAGTAATATCATACTTTTATTTTACTGGACTATCTGACACACTAAAGATTAAGTTTCAAATATATCATGATATATTGGAATGTGACCATTATTGATACAAAACGTGATTTTTTCATAATGATTCTCACAGGATTGTGTGTCGCCTTTTGTGTTTCCTCAAAAAGTCCTGCATTTGTTCTTTAATTGAGTGCACAGTATTATTAAGGAAGTTAAATCCTTTTGACAGACATAATTTTTTTTCTGATTTGTTCTACCTTTTGAAAATCCAGCAGATTTTTCACAAATTTTGAAGTAGAATTACACCTAATTGCATCCACGATCCGATACCAGATCTTTCACGATCCAATCGCAATGCTTGAAAACCGTTAGTTATTCTTTTACGATCATTTATCTCGATATACCGAATGAAACCCGTGTGTATCAGTTTCGGGCTTCGAGCAAAACCTTTCGGAATTTTTGGCCCTCAGTGCACTTCAGCTACGTACTTTATTGGGCCTTTATAACTTTTTTTATTCGACGAAAAGCGCGTCTGGCATACAAAATTTTAATCCTAGTATCAATGAAGAGTTAATTTACCTTATTTTGAGTTTTGTTTATTCCAGCTAAAAATGCGATATAGGCCAATATCAATGCAACACACATTATCATTAATATCACAGACTTATCAGATGTAAGATTCCTGCAAAATGAAGAAAAAAGAAATAAAAACACTTTTGAATCCGTTAAGATTAAACATGGCATCATATTCAAATTTTTGAGATTGTTTCGGGGTTTGTGTTGCTAACTTTTCAGTTGTCTACTTAGAGTTATGTGAGTTGTTTGTCTTTCGTTTTTTTAGCCATATCGTTGCCAGTTTCACATCAATTTATGAGAATTGAATGTTCCCTTGAAAAATTCCACCTCTTTAATGAAATATTGGTAATTGTGTAAAATCATGATTCTAAAAGAGAGGCAGAAAATAACAAAGGGACATTCAAACTCATATTGACAATGCCATGGCAAAAAGCTACTAATAGACAAACAACAGTAAACGAAACACAATAACCATATAAAACATTCAGAAAATTCTACTGCAGTACTTCTTTAAACTCTTCTACAATTCACATTCAATCAGAAATGGTGATTGACACTAAGATAAAAGAATTTTAGCAAAAAGTATACGAACAAATTTGCAATAGGTTGATTCTTTGAGCAGTAACTTAATTATTTTGTTTGTAAGTGTAATATTCCCTTTTTCTAATGTGAGGGGCATAATTCTACGTCTCCCACTGTGTTTGTAAATAAGAATGACCTGAATTTGTTAGATTTTCAAAAAATATTTATATTAATTGGTTTTCATTTCCCCTTTGTCAATTGGAAATCTACAATATTGCAACAACTATTTAAAAAAGATTTCTACTCACTTCCATTCTAAACTGTATATCATTATTGTGATGAATAAACATATCAATGATATTATACAGCCAACCAAAGACATAGTCGACATTATTTCGTGATGTTCTTCAGTCTGTTAATGGTAAAATCAGAGAAAAAGTTAAATAAAATGATAAAACATTTACACATAAATGCTCAAGTAATTACAATGAATAAAATTGAAAAAACAGCATTTTGATAATGCAGGTCCGACAAGAATTCGTACCCGTTGTCGTGCTAAGCATAAGTCACCCGCAATTTAAAGTATAAGAAAACAGGAATCAGGTGTATGACAGATCCGAAAAGAGCTTACACGTTACAAGTCATCTCTGTCGAGATGCAGACCAGAAATCAAGTCAATCTGTTCAGAAGTGGATTAACATATTGAAGAATTCAAACTATCGGAAAACAGAATGTATGTGTCTGACAGATCCGAACAAATGCTCACGCGTTACAATTCTGAAATGTCAAGCTGCTGACCAAATATGAAGCTATTCTGTACAGTGGTACATGAGAAAAGTGTGATGACGAACATACGGACAAGTTATTGACAATATGTTCCTACTTATTAAGACGGGGTTTAGAAATATAAATGTAAAAACAAAAAGACAAATGAAAACTTTATAATCGAAGCAGTACTTAATTCTTACTATGACATTTAACATAATATAATAATAAACAATTTACAATCTCGTCCAAGCTTAGTAACACTGCAAAGTTTGTTAAATGATCACATCTGCATTCAGTAACGCTGTCATTCATATATGCAGTTTCACATCCATCCGTAGCCCAGTTACCACCATTCCTAAAATATATTTATATATGGTGGCTCTTATTGGCCACTATGGAGATTTGTTGACGACTTCTTATATCAATGGGCTAAACACCGTTGGATGCAATTGGTTTGATGTGTTTGAGCTTTTGATTTTGCCATTTGCGAAGGGTTTTGAATTTTCCTTGGAGTTCGGTGTTTTTGTTATTTTACTTTTTATAAGCAATACATAGTCGAAAATATATATAATCGTCTAATAGTATATATTATGTTACTTTGTTTGCATGCATAACAGAGTATAGATTAATTGATCATTATTTCGTGTACAAGAATACGTGTAGATAAATCAAATAAAACATAGTTTATTTAAAGCTGACCATGTACTAGTATATAGAGTATGAGTGCGATCTTCGAAATAAGCATAGCATAACTGGGCCCAATTTTTTCTATTATGTATAAAACATTATTTTAAAAATAGAATTACTGACATAAATCTTATTATAAATGATTAATCAATGTTTTATGTTTAAACATTTGCAGTACTCTTGACAACATATTCATAAGTTAATAACACTCAAGTTATAATGTGGAAAATTTTGTCATCTTTCATTTAATTTAATCAACACTTGATATAACCGGGTGAGCTCCGAGGATGTTCAAAACAGAGATTTCTCTTTACTCACTTTAATCCAGTGTTTACGTAGAAATGCAATTCTCTTTAAGTACCATTCGAAAAAGAAATAATGTCACTGTGCTACTGCACTCAAAACACCCCAAAAAAAAAACAAACAAAAAACTTTACTTCATGAAATTTGTAATACTTACGGTAGGTCAAAATTCCAAAAAGAACAATGTTTCTGTGTGAGGTTCGACTACAAGACAAAGTAAATTAATTTGAAGTTGATACTTGAGACCAACAAGAGCAATACACCTTATCGCTATTCCCGCTTAACCCGAGAATCTGTCCCGCTTGAACTTTTGACGTCATACAACAATCACTTTTCCGTTGTAGCGTCAGATATTTTCTATTATTACGTTTTTATTTTTACTGGAACTTTTGTGATGTCCAGTAATGGTGGACAAATAGCGATAAGGTGTATTAAGTCACGTTCTACAATATATGATAGCCCATCTTAAACACATTCCATACTTTGATATCTAGTGAAGATATAGCGAGTAAAACGTTTCGGACGCAACAAAGGAGTAGGTTCAACAAGTCCCCAATGTGGTCCTTATTCCTAGCAATAATTTCATAATAGCATGTAAAGGTTTATATCATTACGAAACATATGTAAACAGTGACTAGGCAAATGTGTCTATCTTTTGCTTTCAGATCAGTATTCGCTATCTAACTTCACAATTAGTATAGATTTCAATGTCCCACCAAAATAATGGAAAACAGGTCAACTATGATTGTTTTTCAGGTCGGGACCGAAAATATATAGCGGATACGCCGAAAAAACAAATCTTGTAACATTTTTATATACCAAATAACATCTGATTTCAATAATTAGTTTATCAGACCTTGCGCTCTATTCTTCATAGGACTAAAGTAATTTAAAATCCAGAGGAATTTGTCAAAATTCACCAAAAAACTCTAAGTTTGACCTGTGTTTGGTGTAACTGCCAATATTCCATTACAAACGTTCTTCTCCACTTTCTCACATAATTTTCATCAACTTCAAATACTTTTCATTTCTAAATGAAGGACTTGATATCGGAGGCCAAACAAAGGCCATTAACACATGCAAGTCTTATTTTTATTTCTAAATAATTTGATAAACTAGCACACTGATTATCAACAAATTCACCAGTGCATGATGTCGACCTTACATAATTGATAGGTTTGCAAATGTTTTTTTTTCCCTTAGGTTGTTAGACAAAAAAAAATACACAAACCTCAATTGTTTCAAAATATAACTGAAGAGGTGGGCTCAGCTTATTCACAATTTGATCTTGTGGAATTGAAAACGCCATAACTGGTGACCCAACTATTTTCTCTGACACGCTGTAATAAATATAGCAATAATATCAGTTTACTAATGCTTAAAAATCTACATGACACTGAACACAACAAAACGAAAGTCGTTTCATTCTTATACATGCTCCATTTAAAGCAATGCTATACTGAGTAAACTCGATATCATTGAAATAAAATAAAATAGAATCTCAAATCAATTGCAAATATTATATTTTATCACCATGAGCAGAAAGTAAAAATGCATATTTAATTGCTCCAACACGTGTAGATATGACCATTTGCTATATAATGCAATGTAAGGATATAATGATATAACTGAGCAACACGAACTTCACCAACATCTAGGTTGATCTATAGTGCTCCCGAGAGGTAAGCAGATACTGCTCCACTAATGGCACCGGTTGTGTTGTAATTTTGCGAAGAGTCTCATCGCTCATTTGGCGATCAAGGAAAAAGAGGACGGGGTTTCGGTTAGGACAATTGGTAGATAACCATGCGAATCTGTGAAACAGATATTCCAAAACGGTTATTAAACGCGTGAGGGCGTTTAAATAAATTTCAAGTTATATCACAGTAAGAATTGTGAAAAAGGCAAATTTAGATTTCCAGTTTGCCCTTCACAAAATGTAGGTAACATCCAAAGTTTTCGTCGCCACTTCAATGCTACAGGGTAATAAAAAGAAAAATAACAAAATACCAAACTCCAAGGAAAAATCAAAACGGAAAGTCTCTTATCAAATGGCAAAATCAAAAGCTCAAACACATCAAACGAATGTAGAAAATAGTGGATTAAACCTGGTTTTATAGCTAGCTAAACCTCTCACTTGTATGACAGTCGCATAGAATTCCATTATATTGACAACAATGTGTGAGGAAGAAAAAACAGACATAACAGGTTAAAATGTCAAAAAATGGGATACAGTAGTCAACATGTTGTTATAATCTTAATCCCTATAAAACAAACAACTATGTCAACAACAAAAAACAAAATGGCATAAAGACACTCTATAAATGGCACATAAGCAAAAATGAGAGAAAAAAATACAAAAAATGACAATAACACTATAACACAATGGCGGGATGTATAAATAGCAAGCCACGCCAAAAATGGACTCAACAGTAAAGGTTAAAAACAAACAAAGACAAATAAAAAGAATACTATAACACGTAACTAAGATAAAAACAACGTCAGTACCTAGAATCTATACTTCAAGACCATCATGTATTATTTGTGAAGTTGATTCGGAATATTTATCAACAGGGATTTGGTATCTTCCGATGAACTTTTTTTTAGACATAACCCTGATTCATCAACTTTCTGCTCAGATACTGTGTAGAAGCTGCCAGCTCTTGATTACCGAATGAGTTGGGAAATGTATATCCCATATGCAGGCGAAGTTGGTTTATTGCTGCTAAAGTGGGGGGGGGGGGGGATTTATAATTTCAAAATTAAAATTGTCTCGTTTGTCATAGATTCTGATTCTGATTCTGATTCTGAGATGACTGCTGATGTTTATTTCGAGGTAGAAGTCTAAAAAAGAGGCAGAGGAACCATGTCTGTTGTTTCTTTAATTTCTAGTTCTGGAGTATATATTAATGATTAAAAATTGTTATACTAACGTCAATTGAAGGCAGTAAAGCTGTTGTATTAAAATTTAGCTGAATGAAATAGTTTATCACTTTTCAACAGATTTTGCATAGCAGTCTTCTTGGCATAAATAAAGGCAACAGTAGTATACTGCTGTTCGAAACTCATAAATCGATAGAGATAAAAACAAATCCGGGTTACAAACTAAAACTGAGGGAAACGCATCAAATATAAGAGGAGAACAACGACACAACAAAAACACAATATTAAAATGTAACACACACAGAAACGAAATATAATATAACAATGGCCATTTTCCTGACTTGGTACAGGACATTTTAAGAAGAAAATGGTGGGTTGAACCTGGTTTTGTGGCATAACACATGAATTAAGGTAGACAACCATCAAGATTAATAATGTGTACATTCCTGGATTGTGTCATATTCCTTATTGTGCATTGCCACTTTCACGGTCAACGCACCCGGTATCTTTCCGTTTGAGATAGCACTCCACAGTTAGAAAATAAAATTAAAATTGAACCACAAAATATTAAATCATCATCTATTCCTGGCTTTGTAGTACATTAAGCCAATTGTTTGTGTCATCCATGTGCAAATGTATGTAATAAGTATCTTCCATAGATTTTCAAAAGTTAAAAGGGTGAAATATAATTCGTTTTTTGTGTATCCTTGGCAACATACTGCATTTATTTACCATGAAATATTGCAAAAAGGGGGATGAAAATGTCACATATTCCCCCAAAATTTGGTTCAAACAAGAATTTCAATCCCTTTGAGTGATACATTTTCTGTAACTATTGATATTAATCTACCAAATGAGCAAATGAAAATTGGGTGTCTTTCACCTTTTTTTTTTCGTAAAATCTATTCACAAAGTCCGTGTGACAAAAAGTTACAATTATTTCCGAACCAATGTCTGGTATGGCTATGAAAATATACAGAAAACAGCCCATAATACAGACATTACACAATCTTGATGTTTCTATAAACCAACTATGAAAGCTATATCAATCTTCAGCTATCCAAAAATGAATTTGATTGCACACTAGCATTCATATTTGGAAAATCCACAAGGGACAAAATGCGAAACTACACACCTAACTGTGGAGTGCTTCCTGAAGTTCATTCACTCAGGCGTGTCATTTCGGAGTCTTTTATAGCTTTCTATGCGGTATGGTGTTGGTTTTGCTGATTGTTGATGGCATATAGTTGTTAACTTCTATGTCATTTGGTCTCTTGTGGAGAGTTGTCTCATTAGCAATTATACCTTATCTTCTTATTTTTAAATATTATATACATTACTTGTTACTGTTTGGTAGCAGTTGTGACATAGTTCTATATAAGACAGCTGTGTACTGAACTGAACCATTTGCTATAAAATAATATATATACATATATAAATCAAATATTAGATCAATGTCAGAAAAATATCAACTTTTTTAATGCGGCTTAGAAACTAGGGAAACTGATATTGACCTAATACTGTTTTTATACTGCAACTAAGAATGGCTACAAAAAGTTATACATATATTAACACAAATAATGAAATGCAATTTCCATTCTTAAACGAACCTCATATTTTTTAAGAAAAGTGACGTGGTATGAAATCGACATTACACGAAATATCACTTTGACACTATATCTGGAAGATTAAGACAACCGGAAGTGTTCTAGCTGCAGTATAAATTCATATATAGGATATATAACAGCAACTGTAGTATTAATCCTTATAAAAAAGAAAATCATCAAAGAAAACAGGCTTATAATTTGTAATGCCAGAAAACTCATTTGTGGAACAAAATATATAGTAATATTCTTAAAATCACAATGCGTTGGTAGGAACTCTGTATAAAGTAAAATGTTGTTCTATCGACTATTTTGGTTATCAATGGAATATGCCCCTCTCCTCCATAAAAAGGAAATGCTAGTCCAATTTTTCCATTCCGAAGACATATTTCATGTCGTTTGCTTGTTTGCTTGCTTAACATAAAATTTTATGATTTTATGGATACCTTTATTCGAAACCAAAATGAATTTATACTAGCTTTGAAGACAACTCTGATATCCCACAAGTTTGGTGGAAGTTTTTATTGACCAAAGTTTTAGCGGTCCTCAATATATATATGCTTAACGTGATAGATATGTAGAATTTTAGCTCTGCCTTACATTTATTATTATATTCTGCGGTTTACATGTTGTACTGTACTAATATATTATTTATTTATGCATTTCTGTGTCCTGTGTGTTCTTGCGTTTATTTGTACTGTATTCCTGACACGTAGTGTTGTCGTTTTAGCGGTATTTTTAACATTGCCATATAAGCGGAAGGTTTGGCTAGCCATAAAACCAGGATCAACCCACCATTTTTTCTTAAAATGTCCTGTGCCAAGTCAGGAATATGGCAGTTTGTTATCTAATAGTCCGTTTCTATGTATGTTGGCGTTTGTTTTTGTTGCAGTTCAATGTATCTGTTGTTCCGTTGTTTTTTTCTTCTTATAGTTGATGTTTTTCCTTCGGTTTTAGTTTATAACCCGGATTTTTTTCTTTCGCTTAATCGATTTATGACTATTGAACAGCACTATACTACTGTTTCCTTTATTTATCATTCCATATATACGAAAAAGATCTGTAGCAACTGCTAAAAGAATGTATCTTTGCACCATCTTACGGTTTTTATAGATTACAACTCGTCCGCTATGACCGTTTCTGCAGTGACGTTTTTGTATTTCAATGAACGTAATCTATGTATAACTGGTAAATTATTAAGTCAGAAATTTCGTTACCACAAATTACCCAAAACCTTTACTAAATTCTTCCATAGATACAAAGATTTGGTTTGGAAGTTTGACTTTACCTATAGAAAACTTATTTCAAACGGAATAGCACATCCTAATTTTTACGAAGATATTGTTTACCGAGACTGGAAATTTTTATACGGTCCGGGAAAGGTTATCAATTCAACGTTGTAAATAGATCCTTGAATACTTTTTATTGGTATGAATATTGATATTGTTATCAGTAAATTAAAAACTAACTAAATATTAGTGTTATTTACATATGCACATTCACGTTTCTACAATCTGTCGATACCTGTATCTTGGCATTGCACAAGATTATGTTTGTCACCGACTGTTAATGCCGTCTTTACACTAAATTCATTGGGTGTTGGATGCGTACTGCTTGATATTAAAGTCTAAGATACATAATGTTTTATTAGTTGGTATTGGCTTTGAACTAGCTGTCAGTAACTGTGAGTACTCTCAGATCTGTACTTGGTGTCTTTTTTGTTGTGGGGATGTATAGATACCTGGCCACGTCAGATCTGTGTTTTTGTTAGTTGTTTTTTTCTGCTTGGTATCGATCTAATGAGTTAAGACGTTTTCAACTGATTTTTATAGTTTGTTATTATGTTTTACTGTTACACCACTGTCCCAGGTTAGGAGGGGGGGGGGGGATGTTGCAGCAAAATAGTTTAATCCCGCCACATTCTGTGTTTGCCTGTCCTAAGGTAGGAGCCTGTAATTCAGTGGTTGTCGTTTGTTGCTGTATATCCTATTTTTTTTTATCATTGGTTTGTACATAAATCAGGCCGTTAGTTTTCTCGTTTTTGTCATTTCAGGGCCTTTAATAGCTGATTTGGCGGTACGGGTTTTGCTCATTGGTGAAGGCCGTACGGTGACCTATAGTTGTTAACTTCTATGTCATTTAGTCACTGTTTGAGAGTTGTCTCATTGGCAATCATACCGCATCTTCCTTTTTTATATCTCCCCGTTCGGCATTGTTTGTCGTTCCATCTTTCCTTGTCGGATAATGATTGCCAGCTTGATATGTTACAAATATTCGAATGTCGAACTGTAGAACTTCAGGCTTAATGTTATCGATATTGCTTTTATATAACTTAAAAGTCTTAACTCTAGGTTCAATAGATGAATTATTCTCACTCTTTAAACTATTGGCAATTGTCTTTTCTAATAGAACTACTTTGCTTGGAAAACTCGTTGTTTTATTTAGAATTTCATGTCCTGGAAACTTAACGTCACCAATATCTGCATTTCCAATTTCTAAAACTGAAATAAAGAAAAAAGTTCTTAATAACCTAACAATATAAATGGTCAACAAATATCTTTGTGTAATTTTAGTAAAAATGAAAAGAGTGAAATTTTTGAAGACAAAATTGTTCTTAAAATAACTTTCAGAATGTATTTGTAAAAAGGCTTTAAAAAATAAATTCTTAAATTTTGGGTGTTTTTTACTACTGTGGTTTTTCGTTTATATTTTTCATAATTTCTTTTACTTATAATAAGAGCTTAGATACTTCCATTATATATCAAACTATCAAAACTATAACTTAAGATTTATCTTTTTCTATAATCACTTCTGAATGCAAATATAATCAAAAATCAAACGTTAATTGTTCAGTGTTTTTTCTTTTAAAAAAATCGAATACCACTTGATGTTTTGATAAAAAATACCTTTTTGATAAATAACTGAATGGAACAATATTTTACGTTCTACAAACGATAAAATATCACAGTTCTTGAAAATTAAAACAGCTACTCAGAGTACTAGTTTGATCAACTGGTACAAATTCGATACATGTCAAAACTAACACATTTTCAAGCTAGAACTTTGATTTTAAACACAAAAAGATACCCACGCCGCCGCACAAATATGATTATCTTCTCTTTAACCTGTTGGACCCGAATAACATTTATTTGTGCAGATACTCTGGTAGTTTTTACAATAGTGTAATATTCATCAATATCAATCCATAATTTGAGAAGTTACAATTACAAAGCACATGGACAGACAGACAGACGGACATGTATTTCCTATATACCCCTCAAAACTTGATACATTTACTGGTATAAGAGATTGCTCGTTATCCTTAAGTAGTATCATTAAGCAGTACTTACGGATGTTAACAAAAATTGTAATTATAAAAATGATAACCTTTTTTCATGGCAAAATTCTAAAATAAGAGAAACTGCTCACAGAACATAACATGCATTACATGAATTACCATAATGTTGTACCGAACAACAAACAGCATCAAACACTATACCAGACTTTCCCAGGAAAATCGAAGTTTAAAAGCTGCATAATAATCAGAACTCATACTGCTACGGGTTCAATAAAGAAATATCAGGAGACTTACCAATATTTTCTCCGACAATACTTCTAGATTCGTTTTTTTGAAGGGACTTTAAAACTGATTCGCTAACATTTGACACAATGCTCATCATTTGACCTGCTTTATTTTCTCCAGTCTTTATAAAATATAATAAAAAAAACCGTTGAGTATATTTAAACATTTAACAGCTTACATTAAATACGTTCATAATTGTAAACAAGACAATTTAGACTTATTAAGTCAAAAATATATTTTTAAATCCAATGACCAGTCCGTTTATTTTTTCATCCTTTGATATATATGCAAGTATTTTTTCCCAAGAGTTTTCTTTATATAGTTATCCTTCAGCCTAACACATTATTTTTTCTTGAGTTTGTATCTATTTTCAATAATTTTGCTTTCTTTAGTAGAAAGATAGTAGTATAATCAAATTCCTAAATGAAAAGAATATAGATTGCAAACCTTGCTATAAAATTCTTTCCATGACTTGTCTGTTTTACTTGATAATATGTTATCTGTGGCAGCAAAAAAATCCTAAAATAAATCAATCTAAAATCACTTGAAGAAAGAAATGATGATATAGTAGCGACAATTTGCAACTTTTATATGAAGGCGAAAACCAACATTTCAAAACCAACAACATATGATTAACAAGAAGCTGCACGCGTTGTCGTGTTGAGCATATCCTAACTTGTATTTCAAAGTTTTTTATTACAGGAAGTAGATGCTTGTCAGATCAGCGTTCACACTTTCTTAGTCATAACTGTCAATATGCTTATTACATATGACGTCAGCTAGTTCATTAGTTCCTGAGAAAATGAGAAGAAGAAAATTATTGCACAAACGGTCAAACAGATGGTACCATTGCTTTCATTAATTCATTTTGTTTAACCTTGTAGTATAAGAGTAGAAAATTGCATCTGCAGCTAGGTTTTTCATCCGATCCAAACAAAATACTTCATTCCTGCTCAGTTAAATTGAAATTTGTTTCAGAGTTAAAGATGAAATAGGATTTTCCATAGATATTCGTGCCATTAATGCTGCTATGCATGAAACTAAACACTTAACTATTGTTTGTTGGGGGTCTTGCAGTTATAATCCACTGTATCTTAAAATCAATTTGAAAAATTATTTCAGTGGAAAACATATTTGAAAATAGACTACATCTGACTGCAGGTTATCCATCTGAAAAAAAAACAAATTGGGATCGTTTTGCGAGTTTCCACGTATGGTTACTTCAGATTTTGGTTAAGATACGCAAAGTTATTTTAAACAAGAAATAAAAATTGTTCTAAGGTTCCTATTGAGAAACTACGAGCCATCAGTGCCATTATTTTTGCCACACGAGATGAAATGAGGATCGTTTGTGAAAACTCGTCAATTCAATTCAACTTTTTTTTATATCTTTAAGCCCAAAATTACCAACCTTTGCGGAAATGTTTCTTGAATGGTTTCACTAAACTTTGTAATGTAAACCTGGTATCTCTGATTAGTTTGTATAACATTGCCTCTGTTAACAATAGGTTCTGATTCGATAAATCAGATTTTATTCAGCAAAAGTCTTTTTTTTATATAGTATATTGATTATCATATTTTCAAAACCATGATTTAGGCTTTTTTGGTAAGTTTGAAATTCCTGAATTGATCCTAGCAAAAACTTAATAACAACAGACTAAATGTATATATAAAAATTGATTATTTGATCAATCGAATCGGTATTGTATAAAATACGGAGAAGTAGAATAAATACCAATGAAACACCATTCCAACAGAGTTTAATTGAAGCGGATTTTGGCAACTATAGCTACCATAAGGCCGCCAACAATGAACAAACTCAAACCGTATAGTCAGCAATGACATGGCAAAATGTGATACAATTCAACCGAAAAAATAATGGTCTGATTTATGACAAAAGTAATAAACGAAAACCAAATATGACAGACAGAAACCAACGGCAACCACTGAATTACAGACTGCTGACTTGGGAAAGGCACATAAAGTGTTGCATGAATGACAATACTATGGTTGTGGTTCAGAATGGTCTTCACAGTAGATCACAAAGAACCCTATAAGACACACATGAGTACACTTTTCCGAGTTACCTATTTTAAAGATTGAATTTGCAATATGTATGGATGATATTATAATAGTTGTATAAAATGTGTGGTTATTTTTTAGATGTCAAAACAAAATATTTAGAGGATATGAAATATTTAACTTGAAAATACGTGACTTTGATAAAAAGGTTTCAAAGTGAAATGTGTAATTCATATCATTTTACTTGATGCAAAGGCTTTTCGAATCTATTTCGTTTAAAGAATACTTTAAAGCATATACGAAATATACATGACAGTAGTTTACCTATGTTCAAATGGCATGGATTAATTAAGAAGATACAAATGAGGATAACAAAAACGGAGGTAATGGCATAAACTCTTAAAGGAGCGGACTGGGTACATCGACAGAGTAAGCGTCGCTTCCTATGCATCTACCAACCGCCATGTGAACTCACACTCAGTTAAAATGTCTCAACCGGGAATAGTATGAAATATAATTCTTACATCTGTTTCCTCTTCTGTAATAGTATCCTCTCTATAAGAAACAATTTCTGATGCTGCTTTTAAAATCTCTACACCGGATCTGATATCACTCGCAGTTGTTTTGTTGCTATTTAAAATATCTTTACTCTCATTTGAAAACACTTTCAAAACATTAGCCAATTTATCCACTTGTAAGCCATCTTGGATATGGTGTAGCTGAAATAATTTAGCTAAATATTATTCACAAACTACTGGAATATTCTTGTCATATAAAAGCTTAAATTTATAGAGAAAAAAATCCTCAACTTTCACGGGTGTTATTCCATCAAAACGAATTCCTTTAAAGGGATTTTCAGATGTCTGAAGATTATTTTGTGTTCGTTTTAATTGTCCTACATTTGGTCATGATCAGAACGATCAAACCACTTTTTATCTGATTTTCTAATGTTCCAATGAAAACATAGATAACGTTAAAGCATTTAACAAAGAATAACAAATATTGTCGATTGTTATTATTTTCAGCCAGATGTAAAAAAATCAGTAAATAAAGTTGGCTTTGAATGAAAGTTTGGAAAAATGTTATTCCAAATAGTTCAAGCATTGATAATCTGATAGCTTACTTGTTCTGAAATCGATGCAAATACTGTTCTAGTGCATAACACTAAGTTTGGTTCTCTCCACAGGCCTGTGTAATTATTAAATTGACAGTATCTGGAAGCTAAACCTGTAATTTTACAAAATGTTCATCAAATTTTACCCATGACAATTGCTTTATTTGTTGCTTATCAAATGATTTCCTTGATTAAGGTTAAGAAACTACATTTCAAAGGTTATCTATCTTGGTTCAATTACAAATGCTTTCGCAAAAGTTGTCTCCTTAAAATATTGCCAGTACTGGGTCACATTTTACACCTACTAATTATCAAAATATATCTAACCTTTTTAAAGTTTAATTGTAGATATTCTCAATTATAATGTCATTTTTTTTCGTTTTAATTATTTGAAAACATAATATTCAAATAAGAATGAGTAATACACAAGGCACGATAGGTGAACGCATACCTGTATATCCAGATGGGCACGATTGTTTATTGGTGATACCAGGATAAGTTTTCTCCCATGTTATATTGTTTGCGTCAACTTCTTCTAGACATGGTATAATTTCTGCAAGATTCATGGAATATAATAATGAATGCGATAAAATGTAGATGTGCAAATTATTAATTGATGATGTGTACAACAATTCTATTTTTTAAAATGGTAAACACTTAAGACGACATTATCTGGTCACTTAATTGTGACGTATTCTATAAGACATTCTGACAAAGTTGATTGATATTCTGATTGAATGTTTCCTTGCATTAATACTTTATATAACGGATAAGCATACTATGTAAAAGGTCAATAAGACAGCAATGCAAAGACATAAGAAAAAAGCAAAAGACATCTAGATGTCAACATACGGTATGTGTCATATGGAATTTTTAATCATCAAATACATATTAAAATGTACTTGAATCTTAAAAAAAAATGAAGTAAATGTTAAAGCAAAAAAGTAAAAAAGCGAAAACAAATGTTTGGCTGTTCTCGTTTTTTTTAATTAACTTTTTAAAAAAATTAAACTTATTTATTCTGAGTTTATTACCATCAAATGGTTAACCGAATAATTGTTTGACACGAAGACTTATAATATCCTGAATAATTATAAAAAAAACATAAAATTGAATATAGATTCAGAAAATTACATTTTAAAAAATATAAAACAAAAAATGCACAAATGAACCTTTAGGAATACCCTGTATACACTTACTAGGATTAATTACACTAATTGTCCTGGTTTCGGAGCAATCTTCGTCAGTTTTCCAACTACACCCAACAGTTGTATGGGTTTTCAAGGTGGTCAAATACAACGCTGCAATGTTAGCACTGAAAATCACCCGGGAATCTATAATGCCAAACACAGACTTTGTAAGATTTTGCTGGGCATAATTACTTCAGTATTAATATGATAGCTGACAAAGTTAACCTACAGTTCTTAATATTCACAGGACCAATATAAAAATAAGGAGATGTGGTATGATTGCAAATGAGACAGTTATCCATCAAACTTCAAATGAAGTTGATTTAAGCAATTGTAGGCAACCGTACGGCCTTCAACATTGAGAAAAACCCTTACCGTATAGTCGGCTACGAAAGGCCCTGACATGCAAAATATGAAACATTCAATTGAGAAAACTAACGGCCCAATTTATAACAAAATAATTCACGTAAAACAAATATGACAGACATGAATCAACGACAACCACTGAACTACAGGCTTCTGACTTGTGACATGCACATAACGGATGTAGCGAGGTTAAACATGTTAAAGGCGCCAACCTTCTCCTAACCTGGGAGAGCGGTGTCACGCCATAACATAAGAACAAACTATACAATACAAGAAACGAAATACAAATATGAGAAAAAGCAAAAACTGACAACCGCTCAACTACAGGCTCATGACTTATGACAGGCAAATATAGAATGTTGCAGGTTTAAACATGTTTGAAGGCGCCAACCCTCCCCCTAACCCGGGATAGTGGTGTAACAGTACAACATAAGAAAGAAAAACTATAAAAATCAGTTCAAAAGGGATGAACTCATCAGATCGATACAAAGCAGAAAATTCACAAACATCTTATAAAAATAAGAAAGGACGTGGCAGGGTATTTATACGTCCCTCACAACAAAAAAGACACCAATACAGATCTGAGGGTACTCCCAGTTACTGACAGCTAGTTCAAATCCAATAACAACTAAACAAAAATCACGTATCTAAGACAAGTTTGCATCCATTATCTGCAGAAATAGTAGAATTATCGCGCAATGCATCAGAATTTCTTTAAAATTTTAATTTTGCACTAGATTACTTGTATCACGTCATGTTGCGTAACATAGGTTGTCCAACTGTAGCAGATTGCAATGAAAATTGTTCTGTCACCTGAAATGTTATTATCTAAAAAATTTCTGAAGGTAAAAACTGGTTGTAACATTGGAAGCGGCGATTCATGTGTGAAAAGGGGACAGTATTTAATATGTTTATTTGGTCCAAAGTGATAAATAAATTGATAGCCATAAAATTTATCTAATTGAGCAATTTAATTTTCTTCAATATCCATTATGTCGACATGATTCCAAAGGTAATTCCGAACACAATAACATAGCCTTTCAATCATGTTTGTTGCAATTATGTAAGACAGCGAATATTACTTCTGAAGTACGGCACACTATGGCACATAACAACAAAATATTTTTCATAATGTCTTGAATTGTAGTCTTAAAAAGCCTGTTTGTCGATATAAGTGTAAGCTACCACATATAATATTGATAAAAGAAAATCATTTCGTCTAGCCTATTCGGATTTTAATCAAAATAACACCAGCACAAAACTTGTCATATTCACTTTTGTAACTTTGTAAATGAGTGATTCTTATGGCGAATGATGCATTAAAAACACTAGACGCTCACCCTGTCGTCGCACACGACTTTACTTTGTTTGTAGTTAATGCAAAGTTCATGGTTTGTATTTTCAAAATGGACTAACGAGATTTGAACAACAGTTACTAATTTGTTTCTACAATACATATATAAACAAAAGCTAAAGAATGATAGATTTATTCTTGGTATCATGAAATTTGCAATGTCACTAGAAGTAATTGTATATTGGATAACACCCGAAACTTTGCCTTGCAATAGGCTACCTACGGACCCCTCAGAGAGCTGTTCTAAGGAATCTATGACGTTTAGAGGGTATTTTCTAAATGAATCATGGATTCGAATGGTGGGTGGTGCATGCATACAAGGAGACGGTTACCATGTCGAGTCACCCGGTCTAACTCCCTTTGGAGTTCGTGCAATATCCTCCTTTTTGTTTGTTTGTTCCCTTGGTTTGTATCTTTTTAAACGATTTATGCAATCTGTACATCGGTTAACTACTTTAGATCAAATTTAATGAAAAATACAACATTTGTACTGGTAATGCAGACTTGATAACCCACAATTAAAAGCTCACATTGTCATAAAATAATGTACAAAAAGCTTTATGTCTAAACATACCAGAAATATCCTTTCCATTTAAACACATTTTCAAGTTTTGTTTCGCTGATTTAGTAGAGGGTAGAATTGTACACGTGACGTTGATATCACTTCCATTCATAACAACCGATGAGTCACTTTCAAGTTTGAACGTATAAAGACTTATCTGGGTGGATCTGTTTGCAGTGTTGTTACCAAGTCTTGCCTCGCATGTCAAATTTCCTACAGATAAATGTATATTTGTACTTGTATTGTAAGTTTAAAGAGTATGTCTGTCTCATCCAATATTATTAATTGATAATATACAAATTATCTATCATGCCATGACGATCTGATAGTTTCTATTAAGGTGTGAAGTAGAATGTGCCCTTGCCCCGAGATTTTACTTTGCAAAAAAAAACGTGTAGAATTAATTTCCTACCAGAATTTAATACTCTAAAAAGCATCCAACAAAGAGCGGTTTCAAACATGAATATCAAATTAAAAATACATGTATTTTAAATATTTGCATGCTTAACATCAAACAAATATTTCATGCATATTGAAAACGAAAAAAATGCGGACTCGTCAGACAGAAATTTCGTTCAATGATTTGATAACGTGCGGAGAGGGTGGCAGTCGCCCTACACGAGGTTTCGGATAAAATGATCGGATAGGGCTATATATTTATAAAAAGTATAACAAAAATACTGAATTCAAATTAAAAAAGGGAAAAGGGTAAGTCCATAAGAACTGACAAAATCAAACGCTATCCAAACCTCCCACTTGTATGCAAGTTTTTTTATAGTTCCGTTACATTGACAAAATTACGTAAGCAACCCAAACAGACATAAAAGGTTAATGTGACAATAATTTGGATCCAGCAGTTAAAAATGTGTAAACATACATCACAGACATATGATCCAGGACAGCCAAATGGACGCTCCGCTTCAAGAAGTGTGACATTTTCGAACAAGACTCATATGGATATCAAGGAGCTTTCATTGATAAGAGATTTAAAAAAAGAATATTAAACACCATGACTAAAAATGAATTGTATGACTTGTCGATAATTTGAGAAGGTAAAATTGAGAATGGTAAAAATTTTTCAAGATTACCGTGACGTCGTTTTTAAAAGAAATACATATTTCTCATAAGTTTATTTGAAGGTGTGTTTATCTCTTTTTGTAAATGATTCTTCAAATTGGTACTTTAAAGAAAATAAAAAAACGAACAATATAACAGCTCTAAAAAAATGATAAACGTAGGAAAATCATTATCTCGCGACCATATGCTGTATAAATAAACATAATAAGAATATGTGATCCCATGATACCAACCTTTATCATGTTTCTTTAAATTTTTTATCACTAGAGTAGAGTGGTATTTTGTACTTGTTATCTTACTGTACATCACTTGTATTCTAGATATCTTTGTTGGCTTTATTTTAACATCATTTAGCTTCCAATGATATTCAATATTCCCAGTAATGGATACTGCATCCACTTTACATTCTACTGTAGCTGTGGCTCCTTCAGTTACAGTCACAGTTTCGTTCATAGTGATATTAGTAATATATCCCACTGGAATAAAAGAAAAAAGAAAGTTTATGACAACAAGAATATGTGTCCATTGAATACGATACCCCGCTCTCAATATTACAGCTCTGTGTTCATTGAACCGCAAATATGGGTAACTCTCTTGCTTAGAACATATTTTTAAAAGTTCACATCATAATGGTGTTAATATGACCACTACTTTAGCGTAACCCAAAACTGTAACCTGCATTAAACCAACAGCGTTACCTATAACAAGACAGACGAAAGGACAAATAGATAGACACACATATCGTAAAGTATAATGTACCTACACTATTGTAAGCGATGCCGGAAAAAAATTATTTAGTTTAAAATAAAAAGAACGTTAAAATTTATTTCATTTTAAATTTTGGGAATATAAAGAGATTTCTAAGATATTCCTAAATAACTTTGTTGTATATTTATCTGTCTAATGACAAGAGCTTGAATTTGTAAAAACACAAGTTTATCTAGTCATATATATTGTAAATTAATCCATTTTAAGGGCGTCTTTCATAGAATACTATTTCTTCCACACAGCTTAGAAAGAAAGAGTAAATACCAAGGGACCAATCAAAACCAATAAAACGAAATATACTCTGTACAGTTATGGTCACTTACGGTCCTACTTTCATTTAGTGATGAAATGTTTTTGTCAGACTGTTGACGAGGTCTTTACACTAAATTCGTTGGATATTTACTGATTGATATTTTTGTTTATCAAACATAATTTATTTATTGGTTGTTAATGGTTTTGAATTTCCTTTCACTAACTGAAGGTACTCTTATATCGGCAATTTGTGTCTTTTAATCTTTATTAATTGTTTTTTGTGTGCTAGTTTTAATCTAAGGAAATAAACCTTTTTAGAGCTGATGTATACAGCCTATTACAACCCTGTTTCAAGTTAGGGGAGGTTGAGTGCTAGCAAACATATTAAACCCGACACATTCTGAATACTATATGGTATGGATTTTGCTCATTACTGAAGGCCATATGGTCACCTATAGTTGCTTACATCTACGTCATTTGGGTCTCTGGTGGATAGTTGTCTCATTCCTTTTTGTTGTTCTGAATAGTCCCTTTCGTGTGCTCGCAAGATTTATATCATATTTCAAAAAGACTTCTTAATATCTTTGAACTATTTTGTTCTAATGTTTTCCTTTTTTTTTTACTTACAACCCTGGACGCTCCGAATAGTTTCATTCGTGACTGTGAATTTTCCAAATGTTTGCATAGCAACGTTCATTTGTATTGTTTGAAGCAGCGTTGATAAATTTGATGACCTGTCCATTATGATTCCTTGATCAACACCAATGCTTCCAGGTCTGAAATGTTAATTTTATCTATTTCTATATCACTCTTTTTCTTTCCTTAATTATAGTTAGAGACCATTTAATAATTTATGAAAAAAATAACAATCGATCCATCTCTATGACTTTAAGCAAATACTGCTCATATAAGTCCAATAATATGAAAGATAAAAAAGAATACAATTTTCTCCTAAAATGTGCGAGTTTACTTTTTTCAGGTGTTGATCCAAAACTTCAAGAAGCACGCATTTACCAACATCACCAATCATATATTATAATATATTTTCGTAATATTCATAACCCTTCTAGTTTTGAAAATCAAAATGTACTAATTCCGGATATGGTGTCCTAACTTTTGTGTCTTAGTGTTCCGGAGAAATGGTAAACCTGATATATAAATCGCAGATAGCAAAAATATCAACTACCATCACTGCAGGTTTGGTGTAAATCCACAAGCTAGAAATTGCTGCTTCAGTGTTAGCTTTAAAATATCAATTATCACATGTCATGAAATAGAAGTTCTTTCATAATATAATTTATAAATGGGAAAAAAATATTCTGGAACATTATTTGCACTGGAACATATTTTACAGTATTTGTTCCTGACGGAATATATGGTATAGAATATTTGTTCAAATAGAAGCAGATATTATGCCGTTGTTAATAACAAAGTTTTCAGGAGAATTTCTGATAGGCGGAAAAAATGTACGTTGACGGGTGACACACAAGTGATAAATTTGGAAACAGTTGCAGTAACTCGGATTTAACCTACCGCAGACAAAATTGACCTTAGATGGATACGTTCACTTATTTTAAGTAAATACTGTCCATATTACGAACATATTGTCTTTACTGAAATAAAAATATATCTTGTTTTGATAATGCAGGTATCCTGGTAGCAACATTGTCATACCGATGATTATCTATTGTCGTGATTTTGTCTTGACCAGTGAACTCTCCGTTTATTCATTCATCTTTCGGGGCCATAGATAACGTTTAAACTAATTGATGAATGTTAATCTAGATATGCACCATCGAAGGCATAAAACCTACCTTAAACTTAAAACCTTTGCTTCTCTGTATCCAGGATGTGTTTGGCCAATTTCATTAACCTGTAAAAGAGAGACGAAAGATACCAAAGGGACATTCAAACTCATAGTCAAAAATAAACTGACAACCCCATGAATCAAATGAATTCTTGTTAACTATGGCTTTATTTGAAGAAATGTTGACAACAACTACCAATATCGATATATATAATTTAAAAAATAAAGTTAGTATAATAATATGTTATTGCCATAATCAAGCAAATGGATGGGACACAATTTTCTACTTACATTAATGATATACACATATGATGACAGCAAAACATATACAACGTACAATCACATAAAAGAAAAAAAAATAGAAAAATAAACAAATGAAAAAGATAACAAATGCATAGAAAAAGAAGAAGACGGAAACAAGATGGCTGACTTGGAGAATATATATTTCTTTGATCGTTTAATGAAACAACGATCTTTATCGAACATTTTTCAATTAGTTTCATAATTATATGCGTCATTTCCAAACAATAGGGCTTCAATATCAATTTTTATTTATATTGATTAGTTAACTGAATAGAAAGGGAATCTCCAATAGGAGAACCACAGGAACATTAATGATCTTTTGTTCACGATAAGTATTTTATGAAGGTCATTATTTTGCACTGAAGCCTTAGCCTTTTCTTTTTGTTGGGAATGTCATAGCATTTGATTGTTCTGAATGAATCGCCTTTTAATTTTCGTTTAAATTATGAATTCTTATCAGTGTAACCACTTACCACGGATATATTCCAATTTGTCTTATTGACAATCCCGTCCTGCTTTATTCCGAATGTAAGATTAGTTATCGGTTTTATATATGGCATAATCATTGCGATGGGTGAAAATGACTACCCATGTTTTATATGGCTCATAATTTTTTATTCGTCTTTCAAATAATATAGTTACCGATGTTTAAAAATTTGATACGGCCATGAAGTTGGAGAAAAAAGACTTCCATTTATATCTGTTTTTGTTTTATCCCTTGCAACAATTATAATTTTTGGTGTCACTAGAAGGGCAAGAACCAATACTCCTTCCAGAACACCTAGTTTCACCCATATTTTCAGTGGAGTTCTAATATCTACAAAATGATCATCAGTTGTTATATATTCTTCTTCAGCCTATTGTTTGTTCTCTTACTTCCCTTTTTCTTTTCATGTGAAAGCATAACAAAACAGAGCAAGCCATTGCACCTGAAGTTAGTATTTTATATAACATAGTTAGCCTTGTAACGATCAACATACCGCTTTAACAAACTGTGATGTGAAGTATTTATAATAGTTAGAATCAACGTCATACAAGCTGGCATTCCATTTATATGGCCCTTCAACAGTTATGGAAATCACTGCAGTTCTTAAATATGTTGCTGTTGATAAAGAAATGGTAGTTAAATAAATTTGATAAATAAACCATATCACCACAGCTCTTATATATGTGTAATACGATTAAAGTTTGCCTTGTTTCTACCACAACTTGATTTGAAAATGTTTTCATGAACTTGAACAGAATCATCTAGAAACTATGTGACATTAAATTAAAACTTTACTCAAAACAAAATATAAAGCAATCTTATGTAATAGTAGCACAGCATGAATGTTGGTTACAGTTATCAGCTTGATTATTACAACAGGCTGTCAGAGTGACGACAAACCGGATTTCCTGCAGAGGTTGAACCCTGAACAGTTGAGCAAGTATGGACACTACATTTAAGCTTAAAACAGCTCTGAATTTGGATTGTGATTGAATATTTGACACAGCATAGGTTTGTGACACAAAATGAATGTGGGCAAAGAACTGAAAAAATTGAAATTGGACATTTACCTATTATGGTCAAATATCCAAAATCTATGTACATTGTTAGAATCAGCATATCAAAGAACCCCAAGAATTCAATTTTTGATGAAATCAATTAAAAGTTTTAATTTAGGACCCTTTGGACCTCAATGTGGACCAATTTGATAAAGGAGCCCAAAATCCAAAATCTCTAAATACATTTCAAAAAACCCCATAAGTTCATTTTTTGTTGAAATCAAACAAAGTTTAATTCCGGACCCTGATTTGGACTAACTTGAAAACTGGGCCCAAAAATCCAATATTTAAATACAGGTTTAGATTCAGCATTTGAAAGAACCCTACATATATTTAATTCATGTTGAAATGAAAAACAGTTTAATGTTATCCATATACTTATTAATTTTCTGTTCAAAGGGAAATGACTCAAGCTGAATAAATGATAAACAAATAGTTCTCGGAAATTAACCACTAAAAAATAGTTCTCTAAAATGAGATATGATGTTATGCATTTTCAAATTATAATCAATAAAATTAGATATGATTTAACCACTAAAACTTTGTTAGAATCAGCATATCAAAGAACCCCAAGAATTAAATTTTTGATCAAATTAAACCTAAATCAGAAATCTAAATATATGTTTATTAATAGACAATATAAGTTTAGTTTTTAAAGGAGTTCACTTCATCAAATATATATATATATTGTTTTCAATTTAGACTTGTATATATAAATATATATTGCTCGACCTGCGAGTCAAATGCGTTTTGTTAAAATATACTTTTTCACTCATTTGGTCTTTTGGAAAACGTTGTTTGTGCTGTATTTAGACCCCTCTACCAAGAAAATTGTTTTGCATGCACACGTATAAAAATTGCGGTTTTTATCCAACGCAATCATAGGTTTGAACGTTGTTTTCAATTTAGACTTGTATATATAAATAAGTCTAAATTGAAAACAAAGTTCAAACCTATGATTGCGTTGGATAAAAACCGCAATTTTTATACGTGTGCATGCAAAACAAATTTCTTGTTAGAGGGGTCTAAATACAGCACAAACAACATTTTCCAAAAGACCAAAAAAGTGAAAAAGTATATTATAACAAAACGCATTTGACTAACAGGTCGAACAACAAATGTTCTTAAACCCTGCTGACTGCCATTGGCGATTGCCAAATAAACGGATCACCGATGTAATAAATGGATCTTAATTATAAATTTAATACTTAACAGAAAACAATAAACTTGCGGAAAAGATGATATACCGCAAACAAAAGGTTTTTGTACACCATATCCGGATTTCGACAATTAATGTCTCTTCAGTGATGTTAGGGATCGAAACGGTATTTGGAAGGCCATATAATTTACCTCAATTTAGGATAGACTCTTGAATTTTAAAGAATCGAAATAGGATGAACGGATCATATAAACCTGAAGGAAAATATAATACAAGCCCAAACGAAAAAATATAAATAAGTCTAAATTGAAAACAACGTTCAAACCTATGATTGCGTTGGATAAAAACCGCAATTTTTATACGTGTGCATGCAAAACAAATTTCTTGTTAGAGGGGTCTAAATACAGCACAAACAACATTTTCCAAAAGACCAAAAAAGTGAAAAAGTATATTTTAACAAAACGCATTTGACTAACAGGTCGAACAACAAATATACGTCTGAACCAGTGACAACTCTACAACAGATTTATCCATCGGATCACCAGCAGTGATGGTGATACATGGCTGTGTACATTCTGTGTATACAACTCGTCTAAATATCAGCCCAACAATGTTAGATCTGTAAATTCAGTGAGGCCTATGTGGTCGTGTGGTCTAGCGCGTCGGATACAGTGCAGGCGATTTGGTGTCACGATATCTCAGTAGCATGAGTTCGAATCCCGGCGAGGGAAGAACAAAAAATTTGCGAAAGCAAATTTACAGATCTAACGTTGTTGGGCTGATGTTTACGCGAGTTGTATATATATTTAATAATAATAATAAGTTTATACAAAAATATTGCAGTACAAGTGAATTTTACATATTGAAATTGTTGTTGATAGATCTGTAGTAATCTCTATTGGATTTTTTAAGGAGCGATTGAAGGTCAAAAAAAAAGTGTAAGTGAATACGTTACACTACATTCCTTTCCAGGAAATGGTTATTCAACAAGTATAAAAATCACTATAGTTCTCAAATAAGCATATTTTGATAGGAAATGTAAGTTTTTACTCACAAAAGTGAACTACTTAATATCATATTTTTTTCACGTAATTCTCTGAAAGATTCTCCCAAATATCATTCAACAGAATAAATTCAGAAAAATAATGCTTTTTTCTAAATATATGTCTCCCTCTCTGATTACTTTAAGCAAATGCTTAATACATTTAGCATAACTCAACTGACAGTTCTCCATATTTCTGGTTTATAGTGATTCTGTTTATTTTGATTCAGTACCTAGTTGTGATAAGTTTTGTTCCGTCCACGGTATTTACTCTTATTTTATAATTACCTTTTCCATTTTCGGTAACATAACGTTATATGCTTTACTGAAAGGAACGATTTCGGAAGAATAACAAACCACGTGACCTTAATGGAAATATCGTTTTCAGATACGGCATATAGCTGAATGTTTATATCACTAGTTGTGAAACTAATGGTAAAACACACCACAATTTAATATCACTGTTCTTTGTAATTGTCATAAAATTCAAAATCTAAATTTTATTTTTTCATCTTTAATTTGACCTCGTTGGTCGATACGAAATTGTTAGCAATCATTCGACTAAGTTTTATTTCTTCCTTTCACTGTCTATGAACCTTTCTGTGGGTAAAAAATGAAAATAGCACGTTATAAATTTCATGCGTCCGAAACGCTTTTCTGGGTTTACTTTCATCAGGAACGCTCACTGTTTTGAACACCGGATGTTAAGGTGATATCTTTTTTCAAAGTTGGTGTCTTAAACCTTTGTTTGGTGTTTTGTCACTGGCATGGATAGAATTATGTTGCAATGTTTAAAATTGTGTCCAAGCCTATTGTTTTGTAAATATGCATGTACTAGGCCAGATAATAAATAAGTGGTTTCTTTTTTTAGTAGTTTATTTAAACAGGCAGTCATTCGTATGACCAACATTTTTTATTGGCATGAAGTAGATCGTATTTGCTCTTTTTTTTTCTTTTAAATGTTCACGTTCATGTGATGCATAATAAAATTCTGTTCAACACGCTGTTTCAGAATCTAAATTATTATGGCTACTCTTATTATTAGGACACTTTAAAAAAAAATAACATCGCTTCATTTGTCGAGCATAAAATATCATTGTCAACCAATCACAACGGTTTTGTGTACGCTTTTGAAGTTATTCTTCTTGCAAAATGCAAAGGTATATGAAAAGGTGATTTGACAACAAGATAGGAATTCTTACTTGTTTAAATAATATCTCAGTCGATGTTTCTGATAAAAACGTTCTGTTATCAGATTAATACAGTTGTCTTCAAAGAAGAATAACTACAGTATCAAAACAACTTATGTATTCAAAATAAAATGTTAAAAAATTTAATTCAATTGAACTTTTTGTTTTTAAAAATGCATATTCTCTATCCAAGGAATACAATCCGGACCTATGGCTAGTGAAAATGTTTAAAATACATTTTTACCTATTTGAGTGTTGTCTACTTTACAATTCATGTTCCCATCACCATTGTAGCCTCTCCAACAACGACAAACAAATGAACCAAATGTGTTTTCACAATCCTGTATACAATTATTTATGGTATTGTTCTGACATTCATCTATATCTGAAATTAGATATCATATTTAAATCATTACCATCATTAGACATCTTAGTCTAGTCAATCTAGTGAATAACCTGCAACTAATTGCAACACAAAGTTTTTTTCTTCTGAAAAACAAGTCTGTTACATTCTATTAACAACATACTAAAAATCTACAAAAATATATTTTGCTGAAAGTGGTGTAGCTTTTTGGTAGTAAAAGTTAGGTTATCTGAGTTGTTTCCCCTTATTTGGCAAAGTAGAAAAAAAATAATTATACAAAAAATGTTCTGTATTTTTTAAAAACAGTCTTTTCTCAATTTAAATTAAAAAATTTACAAATGAATCACTTTCATCCCTCAAAATGTATATATTTTAATAAAGATATAGACCGATTGTGTTCTGCTATTTGACAATCAAGATTCTAATTCTCTAATAACAGAGTTAGTGTATAACTTGCAACTGGTTAACAGTATTTATTAATCTTATCAATCTTTGTCACAATTATTCATAAAAAAAGATGAATGGTGAGTGTTAAATGATTTCAGTTTTTAAAAAATTTGTTCCTAAAACCAAATATTTAACATAAAAATTAAATTACTTTTGATATTGATAACTAGAGGAATACGAAATACATAGATAATAAGGTCTTTCTTCTATAAAGCTCACATTTCAAAAGTTTTAACCATGAATAACCTAGTTTTTTTATTTCAGTTTTTCACCATTTTTCACTAAAATTCACATTTTACCCGAGAATTCCTATTTTTCAAATACTAATAACTATAGGACTTAAAAACATAAGCATAAGATAGTATGTTCTATTTTCTATAAAGATCCCACTTCAAAGGTTTAAACAAAAATAACTGAGCTTTTTTTGATTTCCAGTTTTCAGCGTTTTTCTCTAACATCACACATTTCACCTCAAAATTATTCTAATATGAATACTTATAACTAGAGGACTACCATATACCCTCATAAGATAAAGTGTCTATCTTCACCAAGCCATAAGGCAAAAAAAACATAAATAACAATTTTTCTTTTTTTCCAGTTTCAGTATTTTTTCTCTAAAAACCACATATTTCACCCAAAAACTAACCTTTTCCTCAAATTATATTAATGTAGATTTTTAATATGTTGTTAATACAAGTCTATATTATAACTTGCAATAAAAAAAACTGTGTTGCAATGAGTTGCAGGTTGAGTGATTTTAGAGCTAATTTGACTAGACTACTGTAACTTACATACTTTTAGAGATCAAATGAAATAAAAAGGCTACCATAGAAAAAAAAAGTTATCGATGTAATTTTTAATATTTTTCCGGGTCTATTTTTTCCATTTTGACGGATGATTGCAAAGTTAACCTACGCTGGTTTGGGATATTCGTTTAACGTCTCCTTCTTTATATAGCGTCTCGACTTTTCTTTCGCATGTTTGGTTTCGAGCGTCCCTGCATCAAATGTATAAAACATTAATTTTATCAAATTTTAATCTTTCTTTTCCGTTAGTCGATATTTGTCCAGCTTATTCTGAATCTCCCAATTTTATCAAACAGACAATAAGTTGGTAGGATTATAAACTGCGTTATAGTACCTACATTACATTTTATATAATCCGACATTTTACACCAGAAAATGGGTAAATGTTAACATGGACAAATGTCTTTCAATTAAAAAAATACCTTCTATAGGATGCCTGGGTTTCTGTCTACAATACCAAGAACAACGAATTCAAAAGTGGATCATACTTCTCGTATACAAACTTATATGAATACTAAACCACATTAAAGCAACAATGGAGTTTGACTCATTCCCAGTCATCTCGTTTTAGAGCCAAACTATTCCATGCACGCACATAGTTAAGATAGTCGTAATTTGAAAATACCCAAAACAAAACCTTTAACCAACGAAAATGAACACGACAAATAGGCCAAATGACTTTTTTTAAAAAGATGCGCATAATAGAAATAAAATAAACTTATTATTTGTGTCTGATATATGATTTTTTTTATGTAAACGCTCCCTGAAACCACTTGAGAGTTTGATAAATTTCATAAGTATATTTGCTTGAAACAAGACATTTAATATGTTATTCATGGTTATTAGGGTATAAGACCGGACGTATTATAAAAATATTGGCTTGCATTTTTACTGTGCAGACAATAGTCCTTCCAATCATCTTTTAAGAGCACTTAAGAGTCAAATTGATGCTTGGACAATTGATAAAGATGATAAGACAATGTTAAAATACATTCACGCTAGCATGAATGTTTTTAAGCTTGCACACTTTAAAAATAAATGTTTTAAATAAATCAACAAAAATCATAGTGCAGATAAGTATATTAAAAAATTAAGCAAATTGACATACCAATCACAACGATCCGTATAGTTTCCGCACTTCCATCTCCTATACTATTACTAGCAGTACAGGTATAATTTCCGCTATCGCTCCCATCAACATTCAGGATAGTAAGTGAAGGATTTGTAACGTTTCCACCCTGATATTTTCCCTTATTACTGTCTATCTTTATTTTTTCTACTGTAGAACCAATTTCTTTTTCCCACGTGACCGTTTGTATTGGCGAATTTGTAGAGACTGTACAAGAGAGCTTTGCTGAGTGTCCATATATAACGTTTATTAACGTTTCATCTGTTGAAACATCTGGAGGCCTTGCTGGAACAAACAATCAATTTTAATTTTAATTTTTTAGATTCACTTCACTCGTAGAGTATTATCATCAATAAAATATTTTAAAAAAAAACACAAACTAAATGCCTATATCTCAAACTAAATGATGAAATCAAAATTTAGATTGACTAATCAAAACCGTCAAATATATAATATATTGTATTTTCATGTGACGCATGTACAGCTGACCTATAGTCATGGCGAATGACATATCAAATTCGAGTTTCTGCCTTGAAAGACAGCCACAATTAAGTGAAACTAACATCAATCTTAAAAACTTACTATCATGAATTTATTTTATTATTATCATATTTTCAATTATTGATGATTTTGTACTTTAAGCTAATTATGTAGGCTAAAACATTTTCTTGAAACATAAAATCCGTCAGGACATCAATTGAAAATCTGATAGTACCAAAGCCGAGTCCAGAATTAGGCATCTAGTAAGTTGTTATTACTAGTATAATACTCAACCGACGCATAAGCTGGTATTATAAAAGAAACAAATTAGAATTGATATTTATATTTCTAAATACGACAATCTCACAGGAGGAAACAAGATGTATGCAATTATATACGAACAAGACCAATAGTATATATAAATATGTATATATATCGAAAACTTTTTATTAATCCACATGAGTAGTGAAAATAGTAAAAACAATCATAAAGTTTTTAAATTGGAAATGCAATAATATATTCAAAATGATATATTCGGATACATCTTTTTGTACAAAACACAGTCAATGAAGAATTTTTTCTTGAAGTTATATTTGGGTACACATCGTGTTAAAATATAGAAATTATAAAATAGTGTGTGTTGTGTTCTTTTCAGAAAAATAATTTATTTTTTGTCAATATAATGGAATTCTATGCGACTGTCATAAAACCAGGTTTAATCCACCATTTTCTACATAAGAAAATGCCTGTACCAAGTCAGGAATATGACAGTTGTTTTCCATTCGTTTGATGTGTTTGAGCCTTTGATTTTGCAATTTGATAAAGGACTTTCCGTTTTGAATTGTCCCTGGAGTTCGGTATTTTTGTTATTTCACTTTTTATTCTGCTTCTCTTAACTAGCTGACAGAACCCAATTTCTTCCATACATGTGCATATATAAATACTGTATTTCATCTCAAAATTTTTTTTAAAGAGAAACTCATGAAATATAAAATACATTCATATAAATTTCATGCGTCCAAATCGCTTTTCTGGATGTATCTTCATCAGGAATGCTTGAACCCAGATGTTTGAAAGCCAAGGAAGGATAAGTACCGAAGCATATGTAGAGCTATGTGAACAAAAAAGACCTTAGAATGATAGCCGAATCCATCCAAAGTCAACCTTGACTTCAAAGACAAAGTCTCATATAAAGTGTCAACCTGCCAATTTTGGCTATAATGACCTATATGTAGATCTACTCTTACTGATCCTTTTTTCGTGTGTGTTTTTTTTTTAATTAGAAAAATTTGAAACAAGTCAAACAATTCACATAGGCAAACAATCATAAGACATTATAATACAAGAACAACATGTTACATATATAACTAGAAACTAGAATACACAGAATATACTATTATAGAATTATGGCTTTAATCCCATAGTAAAACCATATTAGGGTTTGGTAAATCAATCAATGAATGGTAAGCATTGAAATCCAGAAATAACCACACTAGCCAAATTTTGAAGTGTTTTTTTGTTAGTTTGTTGTGTTTAGATATAACGCAATTGGTGACTGCGACGAATTATACATGTTTTATATAATGGTCGTTAGCACCTAATATGAAACGCCATATTCTACTTATTGACTACTTGACAGGTAATTCTGTAAGAATTACTATCACCCAGTATGACTATACCCTCATATCTTTATTATTTTTGATAAAAGAAAATACAGGATTGGTCACAGATTGGATTCAAATTATGTACAAATTTACGCATAGTACTACTATGACACTTTGGATAACAATGTTTTAGGAGCAAATATATCCGTAAAAAGATATAAAAAAACTATATAACAACATCTTTTTTGAACGTCTAATCTTAAACTAAATGAAAAGGCTACACAACAATGCAATAAAAAGTGTGGATATTGTACAATAAAGGTCTGACAAAAATTCAAAGAACGTAGAAATGTCGTATTTCAGTTACAGGTCATTGCGCAGTAGACATAGATAAGTATAAGATGCATATATCTTGTTGTGTCCGTAACCTTTAGAGACTTTCATAGTTATAAACTTCGAAGCATGTTTTTTAGGTCTTTAAAATGTAGAACTATGGTACGGCAACAAAGATCGAAGGATGCAACTTTGCTAGCTTGCAATCTATATACACTAATCCAAGTCCGGGTTATAACCTGATTGTGTTTTGTACTGTCTTTGAGAATGTTTTTGTAGTGTAGTCCTAATAGACAAGATAATGAAGAACTGTTCATTTGATTTACCAGCATTACAATTTAAAAATATGTAAACAACGTTTTTTTTCGGCTTCTTATTCAGTCCGAACAAATGATTAGTAGTGACTATCTGACATCATATTTCTTATCAATTCCTCTTTAAGATCTGTACCTCATGAGATAATGATTGTACATAATGTCTCTGCTCTTGCTGTTGTCTATGAATAGAATTTCAGAGTCTGTGGGTGCATTATCTATGTCTTCATTATGAAGCTCCTTCCTGGTTTAGGATATTTAGGGTTACATAATCAATATTTCCTTTACTTGGTTCACAAATCATTGTCATTAGCTCTGCCTCATCTCAGCATTATGTCATTACTCATTTTGTTTACAACTATCTTCAACCTGTGTAGGATGTATTGCTTTTCATTAGATTCAAAATGTTTTCTACCTTTCTCAAAGGTATATATTCTCTGTAATAGTTTTCATGATCTTTTATCTTTTATCTTAAATCTAAATGTTCTGGATTGTGAATATTTTTTTTATTTCTCTTCTTTTTCAAAATAAATATAGCAGTCAATATGATCTTCTGTACATATTATCTTTCCTCTGCATCATCGAGCTGTCGTTGTAGTCAGCTCGTCTCACATGCTGGTGCTCGTGACGTGGATGCTCGTGCATTCGGTCCCCAGCCGGATCAAACCTCTTTGAAATTGGTATTTGCTGATTCTCCCCGAGCACGCGACATTAAGTAGCAAGAGCAAAGACAGGTTGGCTCGGAGAATAATGTGTCCGATTAAGGTGACATGTCTTTCTGTGGACTATTACCTTCTGAACTAGCACGTTAATACAAAGCGGGTTCATATTCATATCGTATTAACATGGTTCGTCTTTAATATGCATTTGATTTGCCACTGGATATTTAATAGCCATTCATCCTGCCATTTTCAATTCATGTTATAATTCATAATGACATTAATCTCAATAAGTAATTCATCGGTTTTAAACCTGGTACCTTTTGTTAGCTATTATTCGTATGTTTCTCTGTCCTATATGTTCTCCCATTTATTTTTATTGTAGTCCTGTCATGTGATGTTGTCATTTTAATGTTATATTTAACATTGCCATAAAAGCGGGAGGTTTGGCTAGCCACAAAACCAGGTTCAACCCACCATTTTTTTCTTAAAATTTCCTGTACCAAGTCAGGGAAATGGCCATTGTTATATTATAGTTCGTTTCTATGTGTGCTACATTTTAATGTTGTGTTTCTGTTGTGTCGTAGTTCTCCTCTTATATTTGATGTGTTTCCCTCAGTTTTAGTTTGTAACCCGGATCTGTTTTTTTCTCAATAGATTTATGAATTTCGAACAGCAGTATACTACTGTTGCCTTTATTTGTATTTAGCAATTCACGTTTTTTTTTGTTTACCTAAGTGGTGGAAACTAATTCTTTATCCAGTGATTTCAAAATGTCTGGCAGGTCTCCATACATGATCACCACAGGTAATTGTGCCTGTTATGCACTGTGCATAGAGGTTGTCAGCAATATCTAATTATCATCGATTGAGAATTATCATCAAATTTGTACTTACAAAGCAACATAACGGATGCCACATTTGGAGCAGGATCTGCTTACCCTTTCGGAGCACCTGAGATCACCTTCTTTTTTTTTATGGATATTGAGTTGCTCAGTCTTTAGTTTTTTATGTTGTGTTTTGAAGACTGTTGTTCGACTTTTCGTATTTTGCCATGGCATTGTCAGCATACCCGAGGTATCTTCCGACGAACTGTAACAACTAACTGCTTAAAAGGACATGAGAGCAACATGTTAGTTCATAACACATGCTATCTTCACAACATCTTTAATTTTTTTTTAAAACGTAATCTAAATCCACTTCATTTTTGGTGAATTACTATGGTTTGTGTGTCATTGCCATAATTTGTTCGTTAATCTATATCTTAATTTTCTACTTTTTAATCTTTCACTAAAGCATTTTCTCTCTGTTTTTTGAACTTTGATAATTTTCATAGTGATATTTCTTTTACATATCGTCTTATTTTTTCATCTTTGGGTCCTTGCAAGTATTGTCCTTTAACTATTTTTCTTTTAGCAATTTATTTGGGTTTTCCAAATCCCTTCGCTTCAAAACCCTCTCTTTTTGTATAATATTTTCTCTCCTTATTCATTTGTTGCTTTTCTCATGCCACTTGAGAACTGAAGCCTTGCAATTTTGTCTAAAAAAATTGGGTTTTATTTAGTCTTTTGATTTAGTTCTCGAGATTTTTCATTCCTTTACATTTAGATCTTTCTTTTTTTTCTTCTTCCTTCCATTTTAATCCTGAAGTCTGCTTGTGTTCGATCTTTTTTCCTGGCATTTGGATCTGTAAGAGATATTACTTAAGCTGTCTCTTTTCAGCCTACCTTTATATCTTCCTGACACTCATTTCCGATATCTTTCTATTTCAGTTGAATATAATTTGTTTTAACATTATGCATTCATTTCTGCATCCTTACTTAATTTTCTGGTTTATTACTACTTGTCTTTCTCCGAATCCCAAGTTTAGTAAAAATTATCCTTTCCTAAATACCCGGAATAGTAATAGTGTTTCAGAAGCAATGTTATTCTTAATGATAGGTGTCACATGTGGAGCAGGTTCTGCTTACTCTTCCGGAGCAGCTGAGATCACTCATTCAAGCTGCTAGTAAAATTGCGCAGTCTTTAGTTTTCTATTTAATGTTTTGAGGACGTACATATCTTTTCGACGTCTTTCATTTAATTCGACTTATGAGTTTTGAATACCCCTTGGTGCCTTCAGTCCTTATTTAAGATGATTATTTCAATGTTCTTTTTCCAGTACTTTCTCAGAAAGGTATAAAAGAGAGGCCAATATACCAAGGGACATTCAAACTTATAAAAGTCATATGTAATACAAAAAACAATACACTTGCCGGTGAATCATTATCAAGGTTGTTGTACAATTGAAAGGAAAACAAAACTTTGAAGAGTGTTTTTATTTCCATGCTGTAGTATTGGTAAAACATTGTAGTCATCCAATGTTGTCAAAGCAAAAAAGGAAATTATATTGTTTTTCATTTTGTACAATATATTGTTCAAATGCCAGTGATGATGCTGTCGATATTGCTTGTACGTGACTTTATTATAGATTGATGTTTTATTTCATTTATATCAGACGGAAGACATACCACTGTCTACAAGGGTATAACGTGCTAGGTAGTATATTCCTTGATACATCATATACTGGTCTTTCCATATTGTTCAAATTTCCATGGCTTTCACAGTCTTCAATAAATTCTCAATTTGCTAGTGAGGGACTGTTGATCTTCCAAAACCATGTTCTTTCGTTTGGGAGGCAGCATTCTTTTGTATTAGTATATTACTACAGCTATGTGCTTTAAACTTTTTCTTTGCATAAGTTTACTTCTAAAGTTTTCTTTTTAGATCCATATTTTATGATTAGAAGCCATGAAAATCACTCATATCCAATTATTAGATGAATGGATGGATCCCTGTGTGTAACGTACAGTGGCAAATTAAATGCATATTCGGGACGAGAACTTGATTATGTGATATGAATATAGACTCCGGCTTGTACTAGGCCAACACGCTTAGTCGGTTTTTTTTATGCTAATTAACAAGATTACAGTACGCAGGAATAATGTTAACTTATTCGGACACATTATTTTGACTTCCAGCCGACCAGTCTTTGCACTTAATAATAAGTGTTTTTCGTAGAATCAGAAAATACCGAAATCCTTCAAGTCTTTGGTTGAATCTGGCCGTTGGTTGAACCCATGACCTCCCGTACTCGAGCAAAGCACGCTACCATGAGACCACAGAGGCGGTTCCAAAATATAAGAATGACAGGTGCATAACTTAATGTCCTGCAAAAAAAGTTTGATTCATTATTGATAATTATGCAAGGAATTGCAAAAGGAGAAAGTGCGAGGATAGAAGTGATCTCTATGCGTTGCTATTGCACTTGATGCTGTTAAAAGATCACAATACTAAAACTAGCAGTGATTAAACTCCATTGTGACCAAATTTTACATATATTCTCCCATTTTTAAGGGGAAAAGGTAGAATTTGGGGAAACAGTTTAAAGGGTATAATATAATTTGTTTTTTATTTATGAATAACTGCAGAGTGTATATTTTTACAATATGAGCTTTGAAACACATTGAACTATTTTCTTGAGAATTATTCGAAAAGGCTTCTAAATGTTTATAAAATTGTAAAATGAAGGTGGGCATGCCAGGTTTTTATTATAAAAAGTGGTAAATTTAGAAAATGTTAGTATTGTCGCCTATGGAAGAATAAATACTACCGTTTTTATGTATGTTGGTGGGATTTATCAAAATATATGTGTGTGGGTAAATACTAAATTGTGTGTTTGTGAGTAATATTAAAATATATTTTTGTGGGTAAATACTAAAATGTATGTTTGTAGGTAATATTAAAATATATGTTTGTGGGTAAATACTAAAATGTATGTTTGTGGGTAATATTAAAATATATGTTGGTGGGTTACATCAAAATATATGTTTGTGGGTAATATCAAAATATATGTTGGTGGGTAATATCAAAATATATGTTTGTGGGTAATATCAAAATATATGTTTGTGGGTAAATACTAAAATGTATGTTTGTGGGTAATATTAAAATATATGTTTGTTGGTAAATACTAAAATGTATGTTTGTGGGTAATATTAGAATATATATTTGAAGGAAAATACTAAAATGTATGTTTGTGGGTAATATTTAAATATATGTTGGTTGGTAATATCAAATTGTATGTTTGTGGGTAATATCAAAATGTATGTTTGTTGGTAAATACTAACTTGTATGTTTGCATGCTATGAAGAATTAATTATGCAGTTAATAGCAAAACTCCTCAAAATCCAGTAAAAATGAACATTTCCGATAAAGTGTTTACACATACATTTAAAAATAAATATCTTACATAATTAGATAAAAAGTAAAATAACAAAAATACCGAACTCCAAGGGAAATTCAAAACGGAAAGTCCTTTATAAAATGGCAAAATCAAAAGCTCAAACACATCAAACGAAAGGAAAACAACTGTCGTATTCCTGACTTCGTAAAAGTAAATTATTATAATTAGTTGTAGTATTATAGGTATCAGTAGCAGCAGTAGTAGTAGGAGTAGTAGCAGCCGTTGTACTAATAGTATTAATAGTAGTTATAGTAGTAGTATCGTTATCAACATGATAGGTCTTATTTTTATTTAATATCATTTACCTGTAATAGTTGTCGTTTCTGTAGTAACTATGAGAACCACAGGTAAACTAGTTGTTACTGTATTGTCTGTGGGAACCACAGGTAAACTAGTTGTTACTGTATTGTCTGTGGGAACCACAGGTAAACTAGTTGTTACTGTATTGTCTGTGGGAACCACAGGTAAACTAGTTGTTACTGTACTGACTGTGAGAACCACAGGTAAACTAATTGTTGAACTAGTCGCATTTATGGCCCGACACCTGTATATTCCATTATCGCTATGATCTAATTTTTTTATAGTGAGAGATGGAGTGTAGATGGAAGCTCCTTGGTATTTCATTAAAGGAAAGGAAAATTTAATTGGGTCAATGCTATATCCTGTTTTGTTAATAAATGTCCACTCTATTCTTTGTAATCTGATTCCGACTAATTGCAATGGGCAGGATAAAGTTACCTGTTCTCCGACATGTTTTGAATATGATGCCGCTGGGGTTTCTAGAGTTGAGGGCAAGACTGAATAAAAAAAATGAAAATATACATTTATTCTTATTGCCATAGTTTCAAGAAAAGTAAAATATTTCTTATGACACATGTTTCAAATTTCAAACAAATCTAAATATGTGATGCTTCTTTTCGTGAAAAGTAGACCAAACGGAACTAAACACAAATTGGCCGGTTAACTTATGTACAAAAAGTATGCTCTAAATATTCAGACATTACCAAAAAAATAGTACAAGGAACATTTGTAATTCCAAGACCAAATCTGTATGATTGCAAACAAAGTCTTGAAAATAAAAAAAAGTTCAAGGGTCGAAATTTCGCTTAAAACCAGTCAACCTGAACAAACGAAAATCCAATTTGTAAGATAATATTATACAATAAATGCATAAAAAATCTAACCAATATATGTAGGCATACTGAAAATAGTTAATAGCAACACTATAATAGTGATTTTTGTCCAATTCTGTTTTGAGAGGCAACTGCTTAACAACTATTTTTGTTCATCATACTCATCAAATTAATAATGAAAATCAACATGATCTTTGAAAATTAAATAACGTGGAATAATATCAAGGAGATAATAAAAATAATAATTTTAGAAAGAAAGAAAGAAAGAAAAAAATAACGTGTCCAAAGAAACTAAAGGCGAGTCTATAAAACACTACACATGAAGCCGAGGTTTGTCAAGCACAAAGACCACAGAACAAGATATGAAATCAGGTGGTAAACAAGTATTACCAACTTCAGATACCAGGTTTATAATTTAGTAAGCGAACGCATATTATCCATTAGACTTATCAGTTTTGATCCACAAGTAGGTCCAATCATGAAACTAGCTTTAAGCACAAATACATTGAAAACTCATTTAAATTTTGTGGATGATATAAATGAGAACGGAATGTGTTTAATTCTAAAACATAGCTTTGACCAACTCTTGACACAGATTTCCATAATGGTCACCAAATTGTGATGGCACCAAAACAAATTTTCAAAAGTGGATATAATTTATCAAATAATATTCTTTTCAAAGTTTCCCTGTCAACAACAACCATATATAAAAAACATCAGAAAATCGTGACATGAAACCAAAAACAGATACTGATGAAAAATCAGGATTCTTTTCGAGAGACCCCTCGTGTGGAGTCTGTATCGTACGAATAAAGGAACAATTTTCATAGAAAAGTAGCAAAGAGGTTGGCATCAGCATGCGACTACCGACTATGGCTTAAGTGTAAGAATATGTTGTCAACAAATAATTAGTCATCATGTTGATGTCAGTTTTAAAGAACTGTAGTTGCCTTCCATATACTCCGACTTCAATAGATAAGATTTACACAAGTAAAGTAACAAAATAATGGCAAAACACAATAAAAGTATCTAAAAATCAAAATTCGTTTACAATCAGATGATGGGTTTCCGTTATTACATTTTTCAAACATTTTATACAATGTTTGGTAAGTATGTCCTTCACCTTGAAGGCATGATTTGACTTGAAACCTTATAGAAATATTTTGTCTCATGATATGATACCATACATCTCATGGCAGGTTCTTATGATCCTTGATTCTCTTTTCTGCACTTATTTCATTTGCTGCGACCATACATCTCCGTTAAGATTATTTCCATAAAAAAATCTCCTATTTCGGATTTCGTCTGTACAGTCCAATAAATTTCAAGGAGACTATTTTCACTTGGAACATAGGAAAAGTTGTTCGGTCAAATATCTTTTTTCTTTATTCCATGACAACAAAGCATATTTCTTCTGAGTTTCCAATATAAAAATAAGGAGATGAGGTATGATTGCCAATGAGACAACTATCCACCAAAGTTCATATAAAGTGGATGTAATAGTTATCAAAGGTACCAGGCTTATTATTTTGTTACGCCTGACGCGCGTTTCGTCTACATAAGACTCATCAGTGACGCTCAGATCAAAATAGTTAAAAAGCCAAACAAGTAAGCAATTATAGGCAATCAAGTCTGATAATACGGTGCTTTTTTTTTTGCTAATTTCTATCCGTATTCTATTTCAATAAATTTTCTTTTCCTATTTCGCTAGCGGCGTTCTTCGGCGACAATCTTAAAACGAATGGGTTTTAACGGAATTGCCAGTAATAGTGGTACAATTCCCATATTTTTACACACTTTTCTGAGTTTCTATAATTTAAATTTCTTCTTTCAAAACAAAATTTCATCGGGAACGTCGTGCATCATATATTGCAAAAAGAAAAACAACAAATTAGGTACGGTGACCTATAGTTGTGAAGATAATTTTTAGTAAAACTTCTAATTCTGTCCATGTATGTCCGGTACTTACATGATTTGTAACATATACAAATTTGAAAATCTCCGTTCATAAATAACTAAAATATTAATTGAATAAGGATACTATCATACATTGGTATGCAATATGAAAAAGATATAGAATTGTTATAGATAAGATTATTTACCTTTCATGATGCCTTGATATGACGCCTCTATACTGTCTGATCCAGGACCAAAACGAGAATATTCAATAAACATGTTGTTATTTGATGAGTTATAATAAGAAGGGCTGTTAAACCTTATTATTGTGGTTATTGAAGCACCGCTGCTGCTAGAACCATCATAAATCTAAAAACAGATATATGTAATCATTTTACTAAAAACAACAGAGATGTTAAAGAACTAAATATAAAACTGTATGTCAAGTCCTCTATAAACAAACTAAACATAGAAATTGACTTGCCTTTTAATTTGTGATCGAACGTTTTCCAAACTAAATTAAATAAAAGACTGTCAGATATTTAAGAAATATAATAGCCAAACAAGTTATGTCTTTTTGAAGGTTTTGATAAAACATTTATCATATACTAAACAGTTACCAAAACAAAAAATGTACATACCAAAATAAAAAGTAGTTCCTTCAAACTAATACACCAACCCTACCATATCCCCCTCCTCTCCGTCCTCAAATATCATGATATGATAACGAGCAGGGAAAGATAAATTAACAATCATGCAATTGTGTAACTTTGTAGACGAAACGCTCGTCTGGCGTACAAAATTTTAATCCTGGTATCTATGATGACTGCCGGTGGAGGTTTCTCACCGAGAGTATCACAAGCCCAGTAGTCTGCACTTCTGTGTTGACATGAATTATCATTGATATGGTCATAATTATATATTAACTGATTATAAAACTTGTAATTTCGAAATACCAAAGATTTTCTACCACAGGAATAGATTACCTTAGCTGTATTTGATAAAACCTTTCGCAATTTTGGGTCCTCAATGCTCATCACCTTCGTTCTTTATTTGGTCTTTTCTTAACTTTTTTATTCGAGCGTCACTGATGATTTTTTGTAGACGAAACACGCGTCTGGCGTACACAGTTTTAACCCTGGTATCTATGATGAGTTTATTGATACCGTAAATAACTAAAACATCACAAATAACTCAAAATAAACGGAACCTATAACAAACTTAATTGTAAGATGAGAGAGACATGCGTAACAAACGTTACAGTGATTGCGATCTTTCAATACAATCATTATATGACTCCAAATTGGCCTACCGTTCGATTGTCATATTATATAGTACTCTTCCACAAATAGCAAAAAAAAAAAAAAAAAGGACGCCAAGCAAAACCTAAATGAAATAAGTGAACTTGTTTGAACGATAACACAGAGTTAAGTGGTTTTTTTTTCTTCTTCTTTTTAAATCCTTTTTAATGTACGTTGGTACGGATAATTTTTTTTTCATGTTTACCTCTTCATGTCATTTTGTGTGTTTTTGTATTGTTCCATTAACATTTACCATTTGACACGCAGCATTATTCTTAAAGGTCATTAATGTAACACAGTAGTTAGATCTCTGAATATTGTTATTAAGACTTGTTTCGTTTTTGAAAAATTAATACATAACTAACTTATGGTTTTACATCCTGTCAATACTTTTTTACTTTTATGTTGGCACTGCACAAGGTCTTGCTTTTTTAGACTGTGCATGACTGTTGGCTGTCTATTGCTTGATACTTTAGAATAGGACAACATGATTTACTTATTATTTGGTATTGGCTTTGAGCTAGCTTTCATTTAATTGCGAGTAATCTTAGATATGTAAGTAATTCTTTTGTTTTTATGCTTGTTTGGTATTTTTGGGCTTGATACCAATCTGTTGAGTTAAGCCCTTGTCAATTGATTTTTACATCTTATTCTGAAGTTGTGCTGTTGAAACTGGTTAACTCTTTATGTGTCTGTTATAAGTCATGCTTAGGGTCCTGTTATTCCGTGGTTTCCGTTGGTTTATCTTTGTCATATTTGTTTTGTATTTTATATCTATTAATTGTTTAGTCATAATCAGGTCGTTGGTTTTCTCGTTTGAATTGTTTCACATTTTGTCATATCGGTGCCTTTTATAGTTGACAATTCGGTATGGGTTTTTCTCATTGTTGACGGCCGTACGGTGATCTAAAATGCTTTTGTCCACGTCATTTGGACTTTGGTTGAAAGTTGTTGCATTAGCATTCATACCACATCCCCTTTTTTATACAGCTGTGTAATAATTAAGTTACATTAAAAAAAAGAGACCTTACCCGTCTATGCGAAATGGCAGTACCTAAGTAATGTGATTTTTTATTTAACCATGAATTGGAAGTAACCTATATTTTACTATCAGAGTAATTTGTAGTTTTAGATGAAAGTGTTGTAAAGACATTACATTCTTATAATGATAAGCAGACCTTTATTGTGTATCCAATATCTGACCAGCCTCTTCTATTGTTAAAACTAATTGATACTATATAATTCGTCTGTAAAGAAATCCGATAAAAGCAGGGTTTTCCATCATTTATGGCGGGAAAAACAACTGTTCCTGTTTTTGCTGTAAAGTTTCCTCCACACGGTTCTACAAGAACAGCACATAGTTATTACCTCAGAATAATCACCTAATCAAATTTATTACTAGTACTGTGATTATTGACTGAATTAAAATATTCATCTGCATCATTTATGATTGATATCTGGTGAAATATAAATATGAAGGAACCTTTAGTAAGTTAGCCCACATACTCCACACCAATATTATTAAATGAAAAGCTTTAAAAAATCAGACATGAACGAATCACGTGAAAAAGTTTTATTATTTCTATTCTATATTTAATGTATTGAATCGAAATAAGTACCTTGCTGACTTGTGACATGAAGTGTGGTGTTACTAGGACTATGTCCTGTCCCATCGCTGTTAACAGCAGAACATCTGTATTGTCCTACATCACCAAGTACAGCACTAACTATAGTCAAAGATGGTGTGTTTGGAGTACTTCCTCTGTACCTGTTTGAATCTGTGCTGGAGGTTATACTTATAGTATCGGTATCTGTATACTTGGTCCAGTAGACTGATGTTATTGTACTTTGTCCTGATACCGTGCATTCTAGGGTCACTGAACTACCAGTTGGTATCGTATAGGATGAGGTATTAATTGAAACGTTTGGTAAGTCTATTAAAATAAAAGGCAATTAGTCCGTATTTTTTAATCACCTCAGCTCGTTTGAAACAAATAAAAGCTAAACTGGAGTATGCGTCAATACACCAAATGAATACAAGAGCTGAAAACATTTCAGATATTATGATATTATTCATATAGACACATAATACCCCCGTATGTGATATCAATTATTCCTACAAGCCGTTTTCCCTAATACACAAATTTACTCAAAACTGACAAATTCATCAACTGGTAATTTTATTGAAAAATTTGGAGAAAGAATAAAAATGTACTTCAGTATTTTACAACCATTCTAAGTACGGCGAAAAATGTAAATTCTTTTCTCTTGAAGATTTCCGGTAAATGTACAATTGCTCTAAAAAATTAAAAGGCGTAACCTTGTAAAGAACTGACAAATCTGAAACTTCTTAAAACCGCATTGTTTTCGAACTATGTATTTGCTTCCATTGTTTCTCTTGAAACCTTGTAAATTTCGTTTTATATACGCATTTAGTAAATGTTAAACTTCTCGTTATCCAGTTATGAGACAAAACGTGTGTCAAAAAAAATATAATTGCTATTTTTGGAGTGTTAAACATTCTTGTCTAGGATAAGTTACGTTCCTTTGAGGGTTAATTTTTATACTATGTAAACTACACAACTTTATAATCTTATCAGATTTTCGTCGTTACAATTCTTTTGGGTAATATATCAGGTATTTGGATGATTCGTTCGAACTCCGATTTGTACAAACGAATTCGTCCTAGTAACTTGATCAATTCGTTCCAAGTCTATTTTATTTAGCAATGCGTTCATATTCAAAAATTCTAAGCTCTCGGCTCTCGGTGTCTTATGGTGTGAACATTTCTCATTTCCATGGCTTGCACTGACATCTTAGATTTTATTTATTTCTAAAAACTATTACCACAGGGATATAAACTCGTAAAAATGTTTACTAAAGTTGATCATCATATAGGGGTTTATTGTGGATGTTAAATTTTTACAATGGTCGTTCATAAGCTTATTAGTTAGGACTTGTTTGTTCCGTCTTTCCTTGGTTTAAATTATTTATTGAAAAGGGTAATTACTAAACTGGCGTTACTTAAATTGTTCGTCTGATTTCAAGGAATATAATCACTTCTTTTATTTTTAATTTGAGAAAAGACTTAAATGTTTCTTTTATTTTTTTCTGCCCTGAAATTCATCTCACAAGTACTTTTGGCATTGTACAAGATCTTGTCTTACTGCACTATTCATAATATTGTTGTATAAAATATAATCCGAATTGTAACCGCCGATATAAGAGTTTAGAAAGACAAATGTCATGTCAGCAGGTAAAATATATCGAACATGCTTTCAGGAACTGCGAGCACTTTTGAATAACTATATGTAATTTTTTATCATTGTTTATCTAGCTAGTATTATTAAATTAAGATTTTTTTTTTTGCCTGCGAAAGGGTTAAATACTCCAAAAAACTAGCCTTATCCAGCAACAAATTTAGGTGTCTATATCATTTCAAGAAATTCCTCATTGGTTGTCTTTAGTTATATGGCTTTTTTTTCTTTAGCATATTAGATGTTGCTAGCATCTCTTTAAGTTGATTCACCGTAATCATTTTTTATCGTAGACGGAGTGCGATTTACATCTTGAAATATTGTACAAAAACTTCTCTGTATTGTGGAATTATTGTGAGTCGTTTTTTTGCTGCTTCATTAGCGTATGACAAACATTTTCATATAATTTGATTGATATATTTAAGTATCATTTTTTAAATATCTGAATAAAATCAAGTTGGAATCTCTTAAACCAACTGGTCAGAAAGTATAAACACTTTTCAGATCATACTGAACAAGTGTCATGTATAACTTACTGCAACCGCTGACTATACTTGCAAATCCTGATCCTGCACACTGTCTTTTCTTTCTCTGCAGTGGTCTATCTATAGTATAAATGTCATCATAATATTTTGAAACAAAAAATGTCTCATTTGAATTTCATATTACATGAATATGAATAAATAACATATTGATATATCAGTGAAACAGTAACCAAACAATACAATAAAAAACAAGAATGTGTCCATAGTACTAGGATGCCCCACTCGCACTCTCATTTTCATGTTCAGTGGATCGTGAAATTGGGGTCAAAACTCTAATTTGGCATTGAAATTAGAAAGATCATATCATAGAGAACATGTGTACTAAGTTTCAAGTTGATTGGACTTCAACTTTATCAAAAACTACCTTGACCAAAAACTTTAACCTGAAGCGGGACAGACGAACGAACGAACGGACGCACAGACCAGAAAACATAATGCCCTTCTACTATCGTAGGTGGGGCATAAAATAAGGTACCATCAGCATTGGAAAAAAAATTTATTAACACATCTTTCAGAAAATCAGTGAAGTGGGACAGATTGGCACAGTTAATAAAATATTTTCTAGATTGTATACACACCAGACAAGTGTCAATTATCAGACATGTTGTATTTCAAAAGTTTAATTTTAGTAAACAAAGTTCTATGAAGTACTCGACAATTTAGTTCACCGGGAAGTTATGTAAATTTGAAAAAAATATAACACTTTGAAAGTTCTATCTGAGGATACTTTTCAATCCAGTAAGGTTTGGAAACTGGAGATTCATTAACAAGTATTATTAAAAGATCATAAAATGTTCGAGTACTTTGTGGTATAGCAGATGCGTATCCAGGATTTTGAAAAAAAAAAGGGGGGGGGGGGGGGGGCAAACTGGACAAAGTTTGGAGTGGAACAGGTAAAAAGTCTGAATTAACAGTAAATGTAACTCGATAAGGGGGACTTCATATGTTTAATGTTTAGCTTTAATTATTCCTGCACAAATGAAAGGTTTATAATTCGATAATTTACCTTCTCTTTTTACTCTGGAGTCAAACTATTGTTTTCATTAGCTTCAAAGGCAACAAAGGTTTTCATTTTGCTCCATGCACGTTCTTGCAACATTTCTCGAACGAAAAAGGAGGTTTTAAAAAAGAAGATTGTTTCAAATCGCGAATTACAATTTCTTCTCCAAGATTCATCTTATCCACATTTTTTAAAAGACATTTGTACAAATCTTTTTCCACGGAGCAACATAATAATCAGAATTTAATAGTCTTCTAAGAAATTTAAGACCTAAAGGCAAACAATTTAAGCAGTATATCTGGAAAATGTAAACCCCATTTAAATTTATCTGAAATATTTGTTCATAAGCCAAATGGTGAGTTTTGAAATTCCATAAAAAATCAAAACATAATTTCTTAATTTGTAAATATAACTTAGAAGGAATGGTCAGCACTGTTAGTGTGTACCATAATTTAAAAAACAACAGAGATGAATAGTTTTCAGTCCTTGCATTGTATTGCTGTACGTGTTTATTATGTATTATGATAAAACAGCAAATATACCATGACGTGAATTTAAAAAAATTGTTATGAAGTTAAATTTTTCTCCTATTTTAAAATATTGCATTTTTCTTGAGATTATTCGACACAAACTCCTAAAACTTCTTTTACATTCTCACATATCTTAATACCTAATTGCTCAATGTCATTTTGTAACAAATTATCATTTCCTAAAATTTAAATTTCAGATTTTTCTTCATTGATTTTTGCACCTGAAGTACCATATACATTTTAAGAATATCTTAAAAACTTGACTTCTTCTTTGCTAACGAATAGGTTGTGTCATCTGCATGCTAAAATATAGTTGAATAAATATGTGAGCATGGTTTTTTCATACCAGTAATTTCCGTGTTTTGTAATGTTGCTTGTCCTACTGTTTATGAATCAATTGTGTATAGGATAGAACTTAAAGGACATCCCTGTTTTATTCCTTTATCAAAGCTGAAATATGGGGTTAAATGTCCATTACACTTCACGGAACTTCTTTCATTCGTGTAAACAATTGTTATTCATTTTCTAAATCTTTCTGCAAAACCAAATTTTTTCTAAAGCACTAAATAAAAAAATCATGACTGACTCAATCAAAGGCCTTTTCTTGGTTCGTTTTAAAAATATAAACCTCTAAGCTCAACTACTTATACCACTACGACACAGGCCCCACCCATAAAAAAGACATAAAGATTTCTCTGTAAGGTCTTCAAAAATAGATGTGTCTTAACCAAACCAAGAGGCCTAAACCTACCCGAGTCTGAACAATTAGTACCCTTATTTAAATGCAGAGACTCAAGACGACCTGTCAGCATACCAAAGAACAAAAATATACTACAACATTAGCAAAGCCACTCATTAACAGGTAACAAATTAAAAAGTAAAAGGCTAATAGGTAAGACCATAGGTAACTGGTTTTGCTCATTGTTGAAAGACGATGACCTAGAAATGCTTACATCTACGTCCTCGGATAGTCGTTTGATTGACATCATACCACATCTTCTTTTTTATATAAAGTAACTCAAGTAATTGAAGTAGATATTATACCCTATTCCATTGTAATATTGGATGTTGCCATTCCATATGGTAATATTTGACCCAAATAAATAAAAAGTAAAGTTGTATTCCAAATTTAATTTATGTAAGAATTATTTTTAACTTTCAAGTCTTTTTAATCATTACAATAACGGTTATGTTATGCTTCAAGTCAGTATCGAACCCCTAATTATATACTCGGGGACTTACAGTTCACCGCAGCGGTTTTTACCCAGTGCTAGTGTTTAGATAAAGCACTTTATAAATTTTGTGCGACCAAGCGTTTTACTGTATTTACGTCATCGGGAACGCTCACACTTAAACATTTAAACCACAGGGGTGTACAAATACATAGACACGATAGAAGCTATATGAACAAAAGAGACCAACAATAATAGCCAAATTCATCAAGGAACAACTTTACCCTCAGGAGTTAGAACCTAGGTGCCTTATTAATTATCAACTGGGAATTTTGGAAAAATCTGTTATAAAGCATGTCAATACCAAATAATTGACTACTGAACTGATGATATCGTCGGGAAATAACAGTCCACCAGCAGCAGCATCGACCCAGTGCTAGTAATTGAAAATAACTTTATTATATTCCGTGCATCCAAACTCTTTACTGGATTAACCTTCATCAATAACGTTCAAACAAGAATATATGAAAGCTAAAACCCTAATTAAATTAACTAACTTGCTAATTGTATGTTTGGTATCATTGATAAGTTTTTTCTTACCCGCTGAAACGAATCATTTAAAAGGCACTTATTGATCTTGTATGCTTCATAATTGATTATATAAAATGGTTATAAAAAAAGACTGTCATTTTATTTATAATGAAATTTATATAGATATCTGACTTATTTATGGTACCTTTGCTGTACAAGTTATCTTCCTTTATTTGAATTTTGAGATATCAGTCCTAACGATAATATCGATAGGAACGAAAATTGTACTGAAAACATTAGCTTTCGTACACACCGATGTTGAATTACAACTCAAAATGCTTGTGTCTGAAAAATACATTTGATAAGTGCCACCCAATTAACACGAATTATTTATTTTGGTGAATGTTGAACTGGTATGAAACAACTAAAAATTCTAATTATCCAATAAATAGTCATCATAAATGCATTATACTTCATTGTATAATGCAAAGCTAAACTACTGCATTTTTTCACATGACAACAGAAAAAATTACTAGATTAACACCGTCTTTTTGAAAAAAAATAATGAAAATCAAAAAGTTGATAATATACACACAATTTGTCTATATAGAAATAATTAATAAAATATACGGTTATAGCTTAAAATATATGGAGGATCAATTTACCCACCGCTCATAATTTAAACAAAGAAAATGACAAAGTTTAATATTCTGTCATTCATAGTAAATTTTTCAGAAAACTAATATTTAGACTGTATGCACATACTTTGAACACTTTATAACACCCTGGATTATAAAAAGATAAAAACTATAACAGAAGCTAGCCGGACGAACCATGCACTCTGTATGAAAAATTTCATTCATAATGACAATTTAACATTCTGTGATTTGTGGAAAATTTCAAGAAATCCAAAATCCTGTATCATTTGTTTATATGCATACCTATGATATTTGTGCTCGTCTCCAAGGATTCAAAACTTATACAAACTACCACTTGACAGTTCAAATATACTGTTAGAAAAAGAGAGGAGAAAGACAACAAAGGGACATTCAAACTCACAAGTCGAAAAAAAAACTGACAACTCCATGGCAAAAAAAAGGAAATAAAAACAAAAGACAAACAACAGTATACAAAACACAACATAGAAAACTAAAGACTGAGCAACACGAACCCCAACATAAACCAGGGGTTGATCTCAGGTGCTCCGGAAGGGAAAGTAGTTCCTGCTCTACACGTGACACCCGTCGTGTTGCTCATGTAAGTACAAACCAGGTGATAACTCTAATTCGGTTAGTCACATTCGGGAAAAAGGAAGACGGAATTGTGGTTACGACGATTGGAACATATTACAAAAGAAATATAGAGGGAAAGATTCTGACTTTAACAAATGACAAGTGTCTTTACAATATGCAATACGCAAGTCTGTAAAAGAGAGGCGAAAGATACCAAAGGGCAAATTCATAAGTCGAAAATAAACTAACAACGCCATGGCAAAAAACAAAAAAAGACAAAAGACAAACAACATAGGGACTTTGCATCGGAAATAAACACATTTATTCTAAAACCAGTTGTTGGCATGAAACGGGTTATGTTTTTATATCGTATATCTGATGATGGTATAATAATAAACCCTAACGGTAAGGATTGTGCTTGATTTTCATATGATGAATACATAATTTTCCATTCAGTTTAATTGAGGTCTGGAGCTGGTATGTCAGTAACTGTTAGTAGTCCTTTGTTAATTTATGTTGATTATTGTCATTTTGCTTAGTTTCTTCTGTCACCTATTCTAATATATGACTCGGATTTCTTTTAAACTGAATTTTACTGTGCGCATTGCTGTGTGTTTGTTTATTCCACATTGGCTAGAGGTATAGTGGGAGGGTTGAGATCTCACAAAACAAGTTTAACCCCGCCGCATTTTTGCGCCTGTCCCAAGTCAGGAACCTCTGGCCTTTGTTAGTCTTGTATGTTTTTTTAAATTTTGATTTATTCATATGTTTCGGATTTTAGTGTGACGTCCATTTTCGCTGAAAATATACTTTATTGTTTAGGGGCCAGCTGAAGCCCTCCTACGGGTGCGGGATTCTCGCTGTGTTCAAGACCCATTGGTGGTCTTGGGCTGTTTTCTGCTCTTTGGTCGGGTTGTTGTCTCTTTGACGCATTCCCCGTTTCCATTCTCAATTTTAACAGTATAGCATGCAAAACACAACATAAAAAACCAAAGACTGAGCAACACGATCCCCACCAAAAGATTGGGATTGTCTCGGTTGCTCCGGAAGGGTAAGCAGTTCCTACTCCACTAGCACCACCCGTCGTGTTGCTCATGCAAGTACAAAACCGGTGATAGGACCAATTAGGTAGGTAACATTCGAGGAGAAGAGGACGAGATTGTGGTTACCACAACTTGAACATATCCATCGTCATTTGTGCAACAGATATACCATAATGGTCAATCAACTCGTGACGGCATCAGTTAAATTTTCGAAGGGATGACTTCAACTTCACCACTTGGAACTCTTGGTTTTAAAAAATTCTTGTGAGCAGCAACCCTCTATGAAAAAATGATGATCGGAAATGCAAGCTGGTGAATATTGTATCAACTGGGAGATACAAATTCCATTTGCAGGCGATTCTTGAATGTTGGAACATAGAAATGGATACTTAACTGTATCTGTTGTATCCTTTATTTCAAGTTCGACGGGATAGATGCGCTCAACACACTCACCAAAATTTGAATTTTATAATGAGAAGACATCATCTTTATAGCAGAAAGTGAAGTTAAAGGAAAATGCTAGCTTCTTTTCATTCTTCTTATGATACTCCTGTATGAAGTAAGCCTCATATAAATAAATTAACAAGTCTACAAGAAGAGGAGAACAGTTGGTTCCCATGAGAATGGCGATTGTTTGTTAAAAACACGTCCATCAAACGTAGCAAATATGCTGTCAATCAAGTAATCAAGTATCTTTCAAATGTCAGTTTCAGGAATTTTTGTTTGAATAAGAGTGATTTTTTTACAAAGGACGATTTATTCCTCCCTAAGACAAGATACTTGTATCTACGTTGGCCATTCTTTTTTATGAAACGAGTCGGAACCAATCATTTCAATTTGTCTTTTAGTTTGGAATTGGGAATATCTATGTAAAGAGTAGAAAAGTCAAATGTTTAATACTTTTGCAAGATTAAAGAAATTTAGATTGTATGTACTCTAACAGATCTTTGAGATTTTTTAGGATCCACATCTAATTCACGCCGACCTTAGAATAGGTAGTTTCACCATAACTTTGAAGCCTGGCTTTGATTGCCAATAAAATTGATGTTAATAATTTAGAAAATATATTTGGTGGAGCACTTGGAAGACCCAGCAATATAACGTTGTTTGTAAGGACACTTAAAAAGTGGGAATAAATTAATAAACAGAAAAAAAGACCTGCCATCAACAATTCTCAATATAGCAAAATAGATATGACATTAGACAAACACTGATGAGTTCCTGACTTGGGGTAAAACAAATCCTTTCATAAATTTCGATTAATTGACTTAAAAAAAAACATAAAGAGAAAACAACAAAAATCAACATAAAGCAAACGGAGATGGAAAGAAAGAGATAATGGTAGACAGTTAAAAATCCAAGTGGCATATCAAATTCTTAAACGTTTCTTAAATCTAATCGTCGATAGAATATACGTCTTTTGGTTTATTGTGACGTTTAAATGGTTCTGTTTTAATGTATACACAAGATAACCTTTTTTACTTCGGTTTGACAGAGCGAATGACAGACGAACCGACAGTCATTGATGGAGATATGAAATCAGAAATACCTCTTATTCCCGATATTTGTGCAGTTTGTTAACAACTGCTTAGTCATTAACATATATTCTGAACGTGTCAGTAAACTATAAGTTTGTATAGTGTACTTTTGCAAACAAAAGTTGCAGTGCAATGATTACACTATTAAGTTACACTCACCGTACATTGTCAAAACACTAATTTAGAATAAATGAAGAATATTTAATTATCATGCTAGATACCAGTTACACCCATCTATGAAGTATTGTAAAGTTTTGTGGGAACCACTTATATACCTACTTCAATAACACTTACCCTCGGATTCTTTATATTTTCCTTTTGCTATAGAGCTCTGTAAATAGAAAGTACATAAACTTCAAAATAAACATTCATTTCTATTTTTCATAGATTATGAAATGAGTATATCAATGTGTAAGTAACTGTATTGCTGGTTTTTGTTTGAAATCAATTCATTTTAATGATATTTGAAATTTTTACCAAGGATAGGCTTAAGATGGTCAAATCAAATAATAACAAGTACTCTTGATTTGACAAAAAGTCATCAGAGATACATGGCTTTTAATTCTGTACACCAGACGTGCGCCTCGTCTACAAAGACTCGGCAGTCATACTAGAAAAAAATGTTAAAAGGCCAAATAAAGAACGATGGTGAAACCATATATCATCGGTAAAACTTTGGATAATATGTATTGGTCAAAGGTTCACTATGGAACTGAGCGTATCTTAAATAGCAAATAATTTTCGAATACACTTCTCCTAACAAAGAGGGACGAATTGCAAAGATGGTTTGTTAACCTTAAGAGGTAATAATGCAAAAGGAAATAAGATTAAAATAATAATACCAATACTATCTTAAATTGCAAGGTTTTACTTTACCAGTAAAAGATCTTGATATTTATCAAGATAAATAATATGTAGTTTAGTTTTAAAGTCCCGCAATACGCAAGGCAATTCATAAAGGTTGTTTTTCTTCATGTAGACTCCGTAAAATTCAAATTCATAATATGATTGGGTGTTATAAACGCTTTTACAACTGATGCAGACACAATTTTCGACAAAAAGATATTTACGTAAATATTTTTTACATCTTTAAACTGTACGGAAACTTTAGACTTCTTATAACTGTGTGTAAACATTTGACTTTTATAGATCTGTGTTAACAGTTGGCTTTTTGATAGAGCCATGCTAGATCTATGTCATCACTCATGATTTGAAGATGGTGCAGATATCATGAAACTAATAATGTGTTTATATGAAAGTTAATACACCATTTTAATCATCTCCTGTCAATTTTTAACATGTTATTTTCCCTTAGATCAAGAACAGAGAGTTTAAACAGCTAATTAATTTTAGATATAGCTTGTATTTCCTTTGTAAATCAAAATATTCTAAAAAAAATACTATTTATGTATTAATGTGAAAAGATAAATATCAAATTTAAGCATTTGGTAAGAATTATGAAAGTGTTTAATAAGTATCTTGTGTTTGTGTAAGGAAATAAATAAAATTTAGTACAAGCTGTGTATTGATATCAAAGTTGATTCCCACACTTTTTTTCAAATAATATTATTCCAATTCTTTCCTGATTCAAATAAAAGTACTGATACAATATCAGTGTGATTGACAATTGTCCTGATTTACAAACTATTACAATGAAAGGTCTAAGTATTAAATGGAATCATCCCCAATATATTTCCAATCTTAATTGACCACAGAAAATATTTCTTGTATTTCATATTTGAACAGATACTTTATCATACCGTTACATGTTTAAGAGCATTGATTAATATGGAAAGAATAATGAGCACAACTGCCAATTCGACCTCACTGTAGTATGGTGAACTGACGTTAAGCCAAGGAAATTACATTAAAATGAACTTAATAAAGATAATGACGACAGATTATTGTATGGAAGTTCAAATGATAAATACATACAGAAATAACACTATTAAATTGTGTTGTATTGACATATATTTGATAAGGTTTTGCTGCATGAAAATTATTTTTTTTTTATCCATTTCAAAGCTAAGACTCGCATTTTAATATTCTCTGGATCAAAACCAGTTTGAATATCTTTAAAGCATGGTTATTTAGATAGATTCTTATGGACTGTAGGATTTCGATATCACAAACTTGTCGAAATATTTACTTAATTTTATCATCGGTTCAATTCTTTCCTGATTCAAATAAAAGTACTGATACAATATCAGTGTGATTGACAATTGTCCTGATTTACAAACAATTACAATGAAAGGTCTAAGTATTAAATGGAATCATCTCCAATATATTTCCAATCTTAATTGACCACAGGAAATATTTCTTGTATTTCATATTTGAACAGATACTTTATCATACAGCTCAACACACAGTTTTTTTGATCTCAAAAGTATACCAATAATAATTTATAATCTACACTTCTTAAAACTATATTCTGTAAATCATATGAGATTAGTTTTGCAAGGCCCAAACTATAAAATGTGTAAAAGGAAATGCAACCAGGGTCTATTTTACCTAAACTCAGTAAGCTCAGTGGCAAAATAATCTGATATTAATAAATGATGTAGGCTAATCTAAGTTAAAATTTAATATTATTTGCTAAAAACAATAAACAAAATTGCATTATTGTAAACTCTAACCTGAGCATTTTCGCTAAAATATTTATTTGTTTTATTTCAATTAGATTACTATTTAACATTATAAGATATTTGTACAGGTATAATGAATACGGGAAATTTTTTTAATTTTCCCAATGAAGAATGAATACCAAAGAAATGAGAATTATTACACAATATTTTGTTGTTCCTAAAAAGTGCATTTCCAGTGCCTATTTTTGGAAATTATCAAGTCAGACTTCAATAAAAAAAATCTACTACATCATTCTTTGAAGATTCCACTTTTCTTCCATATCAAATTTGTTATAAATTTTAAAAAAAGTTTATAAAACGTATGTGAAAAATAAGTGCACCGTCTGAGTTGAAATTTTAAAAGAATTGTGCATCAATTTTGCAAAAATCTCCGCCTATTGGCCCAAATCACCTATCGATGCAAGAAGTATACCGATGAAGTTATATTATGTCTCAATTTATCCCAAGTTCTGACTGATGGCTGTATTGAAATATGTTTCAGGAGTTGGTGTAATGAAAATAAAATGTAGAAAATGGGACCAGGAAAAATTACTGACTACCTGAACATTGGCTGGCCCACATCACCGACAATGCTTTGTACAAATTGACAAATTCTGATTTGACCGTTACATGTTTAAGAGCATTGATTAATATGGAAAGAATAATGAGCACAACTGCCAATTCGACCTCACTGTAGTATGGTGAACTGACGTTAAGCCAAGGAAATTACATTAAAATGAACTTAATAAAGATAATGACGACAGATTATTGTATGGTTTCAAATGATAAATACATACAGAAATAACACTATAAAATTGTGTTGTATTGACATATATTTGATAAGGTTTTGCTGCATGAAAATTAATTTTTTTTTATCCATTTCAAAGCTAAGACTCGCATTTTTATATTCTCTGGATCAAAACCAGTTTGAATATCTTTAAAGCATGGTTATTTAGATAGACTTCATATGAACTGTAGGATTTCGATATCACAAACTTGTCAAAATATTTACTATATTTTATCATCGGTACAAAGACACCATTCGTAAATATAAATTAACGTGCAGACATCTTATACGTTCAGGTAATTCACATCCAATCGTCTATGGTAATAGTCTATACAAAGCAAAACATGTCGTCATTCACCTCACAAACTAACCAAACCTTTAAACAGGCTTATTCAGAAGGGATATAGTTACGATATTGTTGTCAGGTCATTAAGGGGACGTTTTTTTGGAATTAATATTGATTCACTCATAGGGTCTTTGCATCGGAAATAAACAGATCTATTCTAAAACCAGTTGTTGGCATGATACGTGTTATGTTCTTGTCGTATATTTTATGATGGTATTATACTAAACCCCTAACGGGAGGGATTGTGCTTGATTTTCATATGATGAAGACATAATCTTTCAATCAGTTTAATCAGAGGTCTGGAGCTGGCATGCCAGTAACTGCTAGTAGTCCTTTGTTAATTCATGTTGATCATTGTCATTTTGCTTAGTTTCTTCTGTTACCTATTCTAACATAGTTAACGGACTTCACTTAAACTGAGTTTTACTGTGAGTGTTGCTGTGTGTTTGTTTATTCTACATTGACTAGAGGTATAGAGAAGGGTTGAGATCTCACAAAACATGTTTAACCCCGCCACATTTTTGCGCCAGTCCCAAGTCAGGAGCCTCTGGCCTTTGTTAGTCTTGTTTGTTTTTGTTTGTTTTTTTTTAATTTTGGTTCATTTATATGTTTCGGAGTTTAGTGTGACATCCATTTTCTCTGAACCAGTAAACATTTTGTTTAGAGTCAAGCTTAAGCCCGCCTCCGGTTGCGGGATTTTCTCGCTGTGTTGAAGACCCATTTGTGGCCTTGAGCTGTTTTCTGCTCTTTTGTCGAGTGTCTTTTTGACACATTCCCCGTTTCCATTCTCAATTTTATAGTTGATTGTATGATCATCTGATAAATGTATTCGTTTGAGTGTGAAAAATGAAAGAGGAACAACTCAAGTGAAATTATTTTTGATACGTGTTGTTATTGTTTGTCACGTAGAACTTTACGCATACACTATGAGGGAAAGGAATAATATTTGTAATTTTATTCCTATCCCCAGGAGGATTCATTTGATCAAAGATAGGGTCATGTGATAAGAGATTACTACATTTTTTTTATATTAGTATATCAGCCTATGAATTGATTTGTCTCATTTTAGGACCTCAGAGTTAAAAACAAGAATGGGAAACTATAATGACAAATATACCTTATCTGAATGCAATTCAAAGTTTTTGTCTTTCAATCTATACTGTATGTTAATGCTTCACTCTTGACAAAATAATAGATAATTCTGTCAAACTATTGATGTCGAATATATATATATTATCTTTGTATATGATTTTTTTTCTAATGTTATGTTATTAAGTTATTGTGAAACTATATACACATTTGACTTTCCTACCCTTTACACAAGTAGTTCCTTATTCCGAACTTAAAGACATGAAAAAAAATTGGTCCTTCTTTGTTTCATCAATTTTTGTCGAAGGTAGATACAAAAACATTGTTTTAGGGATGGATAAGTAATACTTTGTAAAACAAACTCTGTTTCAAGCAAAAGTTTCTCTGAAACTGAAATTATCAAGATGCTTAATTTCTCGATTTTCAATATCTGTGTTACGTTTGGAGGACGTAGTTTCAACAAACAACGGCATTCTTAATAAAAATACAATTCCATCGCACTTGAAATAAAAGATACAACAGAAACATTTAAGTCTGCCTCATAACTTGACCAACATATATAAATTGACAATGAGGGTCGCTTAAGAGCAAAACTTTACGACAATAGAGGTGATTTCAGCTTTCCAGTTGATTTATATTTAGCAACATTCCAGCTGCGCCTGGAAAACAGTCTATGGACTCCGATACGAGTTGGTTGACCGCTATGTAATGTCTGTATCAAAGATGACGACGTATATGTTTCAATTGTCTTAACCACATGTCCGTCCTCTTTTCCTCAAATGTGACATCACTAACTAAGACTTATCACCAATTTTGTACTAACATAATCAATCCGAGATCCCCTAGTTTTGTTTCAAAGGGTAAAATTTTTCTTTCTTTAGTTTAAGTGTTGTTATTAATGTTTTTTTATTTTTTCAATGTCCGGTACTAGTCTTGATCATAATTTGCCATGCGAACGAGTTCCAATTTCAAAATATCACACTCGGTCTAGTTTCAGGTGTAGAAAATTAACATAACCAAATGTTTACAAAAGAGGGGCAAAAGATACCAAAGAGACATTCATACTCATATGTCGAAAATAAACTGACAACGCCATGACTAAAAAAGAAAAAGACAAACAGACAAACAATAGTACACAAAACACAATATAGAAAACTAAAGACGAAGCAACACGAACCCCACCAAAAACTGGGGGTGATCTCAGGTGCTCCGGAATGGTAAGCAGATCCTGCTCCACATGTGGCACCCGTCGTGTTGCTCATGTTAGTACAAACCCGGTAGTAAGTCTAATTCGTTAGGTCATATTCGGGAAAAGGGGACTGGATTGTAGTTACGACATTAGGAACTTACAAATTTTATGATGTCTTAGGGTTAGATTAAAGCGATAGTAGCATACTATGTTAAAATCTCGTAAATCTGTTAGAAAGAGACAAATCAAGGTAACATACAAAAACTAGGGGAATCGCATGAACTCCAAACGGAACGATACAGGGTCGAAATGGTAAGAATCTCATACCATGTATCGTAAACCATGCGAATTCAGACTCATTAAAAATGTCACAATCGGGAGGTTGAACACAACTGGTAAAATGACGCATCTGCTGGTATCTAAAGATCTAAGACCGCGAAAAACGTGTCGCTTGTGAGTTGGGACACAGACACATCGTATTGGTCCCCCAATTCGAGATAGTGACCGTAACACTTATGTGGTGTCGATTCCAGTCGTTCTTCTCATATCTCTGTTTGGGGCAGTTTTTGTTTAAGGAGCACACCCTTGCTAATGAAGTCCATATAGTGTGAACATACACGAGCGTAACGTATTTATTGAGATACATGTATGTAAAAGCCATACGTTGGAGCAGTTTTAAATTGGAACTTGACAATTGGAAGGTTAAAATCATCACATTTGTCATAGATTGTATTTTGAAGTTATCTATCTGTTTTAATATCGAGGAAAAGAAGCAGCCTCTCTACTTTCGATAAAATACTTTATCACAAGGTCACTAAGATATGTTAACACTCATTGAAATGAGGTAAGATAGGGTTCGAGTGAATTGCCAAACTGTTATTGTATGATGTCTAATCACTTTATATGAATATTAACATATTTAATTTGAGTCACACATCGGGTGTCACTTGTACAGCAGGATCTTCTAACCCGTCCAGAGCTCACCCACGATATTTTGTGGAGTTCTTTTTGTTTTTACTTTATGGATCAAATATAGATAACAATAGTTTATTCACTTTTGTACAAAACTTCATCATCAAATCTAAAATGTGTACGCCCTTATCAATCGTACACTATGAATTATAGGTATTGCATTTTATTTTAATAAAAAAAAATTTTGTAATTGTATAATGAAACTAAATTGACATTTACCATATTTTTATTCCGTAACAGAGCTGGTAGAATTTATTGATTAATTCTTGTATATTATCTATGCAACTTATCTGAAGACATTTAAATATATGCACTAGTTGCCCGTTTCTGATGAACAATTCTTTATTTATATTGCACAAGATGTATTATATTTATTTTCAGGGTAAGATATTGTTGACACTACATTTGTGAAACTCAAAACTTGTTGAAATAAAACTAAAATATTAGTGTGCCGCATACTTCGTTTGAGTAAATGTTTTCGATGAAGCTGATCATGATATGTATCAATCATAAGGAATTAGAGAAACTTAATGCAAACATTCATATGAAATAAAAATGTTTATTGATTTATAGAATCTTTCACCAAAGACCCATAAGAACCTTAGAGAAAAATAAAAAGAAGCACATTTAACTACAGAAATCGAAACGCCTTAATGATGTATTAAATGAAAAGAACATCAGTATTACAGAGGCAGATAATGAATAAAACCCAGTCATAGTTATTATAGAAGTTTAGTTCTAATCCAAATAATTATTATATAGGCTAATTTGTATCAAATATAATAAGTATTATAGACTTAAACAAATCATAGCGGATCATGGACAGGAACAACTAAAAAAAAAGTTTATTTGCACAGAAAGTAATATCTGCGGAATCCCTAAAGTTGTTATGAAAACAATTAATGATTCTAATCCGATATGACGTATATATATTGGAACTTCGTATAAGATAGTAGTGTGTAAATTGTTCATCAAGTCACGTAACTTAAATTATTTTGTTACATTACTTCATCGTAATAATTATCTTCTTTACATTTTTTAATAGATAATAACATGTCCTTTTCCATATCTGTCCTGATTCTAATCAGATATGACATGTATAATATGTATGTATGTATATATATATATATATACATATACAAGTCTAAATTGAAAACAACGTTCAAACCTATATATATATATATATATTTAAATCTTTTGAAACCTCGTGTAAGCTAGCTGTGTGTAAGTTGTACAACGAGTCATGGAACTTTCATAGTTTCATTAAATAATTCATCGTAATTATCATCTAGTTTTAATAACTATATATATCATCATTTAAAGATTAAAACATGGATTTTTCCATATCGGCCTCGTATCATCACTTGACTCCCATATTAGTCAAATACACTGGCCAAATGATCTTATGTGTCGAGGGATAATACCAGAGCCAATATTGAAAAGGACATGCTATAATATATTTATCACATATTGTACAAATGCTTAAAAAAGGAGAATGAATTGTATTATTCCGTCTGGCAAGATCATACATTGTTTGTCCTCCATACATTATTACGAAGCCTTAGTATTATTGTTTTTCATTTCTTTAACAAATTCCGCTGCCATTTTCAGCGACGTTTCCCGTCCGTCACGTCTGTTACGAACGGTTATTGTGTCATTAAAGGGCACAATAACCGGTTATTTGCCCGAGACAGGAATATGTCTATGACAAATCTGCGGTTATTGCATATGCAAAACCCAATATTTCGTAACAAATATCTGATAAATACATACATACTAGTATGATAATTCATCGGTCTGAATTAAAATCAGACAAAAACAAAATATCACTTGATGAATGTGTACATTTGTCGTCGCCTAATCCAAGGTTGTGACATGTAACATAATGTATATATGATGACATGTAAATAGAATATTATGCAAATCAGCTTGTGTTTTAAGTTGAAAAAAGAATAACAATACACACTATGCATTATCATCAACATTTTTTTTAAATTTTTCTAAATATGTTACAGCTTTACAATTATTTAAGTTGTTTTAACTTACTATATGGTTTGATTTTTACTGATTGTTGAATGCCGTAAGTTGGCATGTAGTTGTGTGCACGTCCTCGTCCACTTGTCTATGTAAGATACATCTCTCATTGTAAATTAGTATAACAAGAAACTTACCATAACAGGTGTTAAACAATACAGAAGTAATCCAAGAAACATAAATGTGTACAACTTCTCCATGATTTCAGTAAAGATTCAGATCTACAAATTGGTGAATATGTTTTGTTTCCCCATCATAAGTTGAGATTTCCTGTCGGGAAGTGAGAGTCACCCAATCATTCATTAATATGCGTCTTCAACTGTAAGTATCTTCCTCGTCTGGACATGAAGATTCACAGAGTATTCTGATTTTTTTTTTACGAGGGCGAGCGACACTCCTTTTTTGGAATAACTGCTGTTTGATAGTTATAAATTACAGAGAAATAAAATATAACACATGTACATGGAAACCGCAATTTCTATCCATAATATTCTATAGCCTAGGGATATTTGAAATGACTTATGACAAATTAAAATAACTAGCGAGCAATTTATTTTGTTACAGCGCATGCATACTACGATAGTATATAATAAAATAGCGGATACATTTTTCCTTTATTCTTTCTGTAATCTTATTTGATGGGAAATGAAAGCTATTAAACCATTGTATTCAGTACAGGATCATATAATTTCAGCAACAATTAAAATGAACAAAATATTTTTGAAATAACGCAAACATTTGCCTATCCCAAAATCAAATGAACTATCGTTAAGTAGTCATTACAATATCTATTAAAACTGAAACAATTTCAATTTGCGTGTTTATGAATTGAAGAATATAGTCTTTTTCAAGTCATATGATACTTCAAGTTTTATTAAAAGTTGAATATGTTTTATATACTTGAATAGCTAAGTTTTACTATAAAACAGACGGAGTGGACTTTCTTGTAAAAGACTCCTATTTCTTATCAAAATCTACTGCTATTGAATTATAGTCTTTCCGTACCTTAATTCACCGATATTTTCCGTATGCATTGACCTTAACTACGAGACCTCTCGTTAGAATTTCGGCCATCACATAGCGCATGTGTGAGGGAAAAACCGAGAAGAAAGAATGTAAACAAACGGGCACTGATAGGTAAATATCAATAATTGATTCTTACAAAACAAATTAATCACACCAAATCATTTGATAACTATTATGAAAAAGTGTAATCAACAAATTGGAACACATGAAAAATATAAAAAAGATATATTTACATAGCTCTATCAATTCAATTATTTTTCACGTGCTCCATGATTCTGTGTTGCTCGAATACTAAGATCCGGTTGATTTCGGAATCAAATTCGTTATAGATTCATAAAGAATGTTAAAAAAAGTGCTTAGTTTAGTATATATGCATGCATTGGTTCAATAATTTCCTTGACATTATAATTACGAAACACTCGTTTCATATTTAAGTTCAGAAAAATCATTATGAAAAGGCAAAAGTTCCAATAAGTAGTCGATTGACAGACACATTCGTTTCACTAACTTTTATGTCTCAAACAAAAACGAGGATATTTGGTATGGTTGTCAATTAGACAATTTATCTGCAAGAGTTAAAATGAAGTGGTAGCGAGCTTTATGATCATATCTATTTTTGTCAATAAATCACTTTAAGACAAAAGGCAAAAACTTGTCAATAATGGTCATTTGACTCAAATTAATGATATAAGGAGTCAATTGATGGTTTCATTCATTTTGGTTTTTTTTTTCTTTTAGGTTCTGTAATACTGATCGCTTCTGATTTATGTTTTACAATTGGTAAAAAACTCATAGTGTAACGGTAGTTACTGTCATACTAGTTTCATTCATTATAGCTTTTTTGTATTTCATGTTTTGTTGATTATTTATGTATTTATGTTTGGATTATAGAATATTGTGTCCTCAAGCATCACTCAAAAGTGAAAAATTGTCGAAATGCGCATTTGGTGCAGAACAATTGATTCCTCCGCCTCATTTTAAGACTTATACCTCGAATTTGACATAAGTGGTTATCTCATTACCAGAATCTATGACAAACTAGACGATTTTAATTCTGAAACTATCAATTTCCCCCACCTTAGTAGCAATAAACCAACTTTACTTGCATATGGGATATACCTTCCCAACTCATTCGGTATTCAAGATCTTGCAGCTGCTACTCAGACTTTATAAAACGTCACCAGTGTATGAGCAGAAGGTTGATGAACCAGGGTTATGTCAAAGAACGTCTCGTCCTTTTTCTAAAAAAAAGTTCATCGGAATATACCAAGACCTTGTTGATAAATATTCCGTATCCACTTCACAAATAATACATGATGGTCTTGAATCATAGATTCTAGGTACTGAAGTTGTTTATCATCTTAATTACATGTTATAGTGTTCTTTCACTGGTCTTTGTAAATTATTAACCTTTACTGTTTAGTCCATTTTTGGTTATATCCTTTTCGTGTGGCTCGGTACTTATGCATCCCGCCATTGTGTTATTGTGCTGTGGTCATTTTTTGTATTCTTGTTTTTCATTTTTGCTTACGTGCTTTGTCTATATGCCATTTTTTTTCTTTGTTGACATATTTGTTTGTTTTAATAGTGATTAAGATTATAACACAATGGTGACTGCTGTACCCCTATTTTTGACATTTTTACCTATTATGTCTGTTTGTTTTGATCACACATTTTTATCAATATAATGGAATTTTAGGCGACTGTCATATAAGTGAAAGGTTTAGCTAGCTATAAAACCAGGTTTAATCCACCATTTTCTACATAAGGAAATGCCTGTACCAAGTCAGGAATATGACAGTTGTTTTCCATTCGTTTGATGTGTTTGAATTTTTGAATTTGCCATGTGATAAGGCTTTTTCCGAATTGAATTTTCCTTGGAGTTCGGTACTTTTGTTATTTTATTTTTTTGGTAACTTGTAATGTTATGCTGTTTTGGGTTTCAGTCTTTCTATTATTATAGTGTTCATGACTACAGCCAGAAATGCTTAGATAAGCAAAAAACAATCATTTAAGGGCAATAACTCATATACGATGTAAATTGATGGTTCAATCAAACAAAGCGCTTTTTTATATTTTGAAGTACTAATTGTTCTGCTTCTGATCTATTACAGGTTTGGTAAATTGGAGTTTGAAGTCATATTGGAATTATTATAGATTTTTTTATTGCTTACATTTTTTTGTTGTACTGTTATATATCTTTTATAACATGATTTATAACATATTTTTTCTCGGTTTACAAATCTAACAATCATTTAGAAACTACGGTTGGAACTACAATTTTCCAAAGGTCTCCTTAAAAGAATTTGGCTATTCTATCGGGTCCTTTTTGGTCACCAGGCTCATCGTTTTCATGTGTCTATACAAACTTTACTTTCATTTTTTTTTTATTTCAACGTTCCCGCTTAAGTTTGAACCAAAATTATTAATTAAGTGTTATTTTCGTATTATAAAAATAATATCCAAACCACTAAAATAAGTCGAAAATCATCACAATGACTTCCATATTAGGTAACTTAATGATTTTCTTCATATTAGCAATTTTCATATATTGTATTGCTTATACCATTTCCTTATTGTGTGACTTCTTTATTAACCATGGTTGATTTTATGTTGATAGTCCTTAAGATAAAGTTTTACTACAAGTATCACATAAACATAACCAATGATCAAAACAAATGAGGTAAAGGTAAGATAAACCAAGCCAGACAGACATTTACACCCTACAATCATTCCATACACCAGAAAGAGTTGACCTTTAGCTTTAAGTATTAGAAAAACAGATCAAAACACAAAAACTTATCACTGACCAATGAACCGTGAAATGAGGTCAAGGTTAGATGAGACCTGCCAGACTGACATGTACACATTCCAATCATTCGAATACATCAAATATAGTTGACCTACTTCTTACATTATCTGAGAAATTGGCCTCATCACGTAACTTTAATTTTGATCACTGATCCGTGAAATGAGATCAAGGTCAGGTGAAATTTGTCTGACGGACATGTAAGCCTTCCAATGAACCAATTTGCCAAATATATTTATCCTATTACTCATAATAAGTGAGAAGTTCACATGACAAAAAAATAAACATTTTTTCCAAGCAGTCTTTGAACTATGAACATGAGTTTGTTATCCCAATGTCTCGCATTCTGCAACTTTCTTCACCGTCGAGACAACTAGAATGTGTTTAGTACTTTTTAATATGTACGTTTAACAATGACAGTGATAAAATGTCAGCTTATACAAACCAAAAACGCTTTCTGAATTTTCCAGTAACAATATCCTTTTGGTAACAATTGTGGTATGTTTATCTTGATAGTAGATAAGAAAAATTACAGTGCCGAATTCTGAATTGTCTTTTAAAGGTAAAAAAAAAACAAAGTTATATATAAAAAACAGAATACTATGTGTTGAAGGGAAACAACATTATGACAAAAAGAAAAAAAACAAAAAACAACAGTCCCCAAAACTACACAGACAACTGAAGATTCAACCAGGAACCCAACCGAACACTGATGGTGAATTGTGAGGGATAAGATATAATCTTTTAGTGATATCACATGTTCACTGCTTGCATTGTCATGAAATGTTTATAGCTCAAATGAGCTATTGAAGAATGTTTTATAGATGAAACGTCCGTTCGACGTATTAATTATAAACTTGGTATATCAGGACGAAATGGCCTCTCCACAGTAGCAGATTAGCAATCTTTTGGAATAATGCTATCAAGTTTTCAAGATGTTGATGTAAACAAAGTGTAAAGATTTATCAAATATACTAAGTTTATAATTTAGAACGCCAAATGAGCGAACGAGCGTTTCGTCTACATGACATCCTTCAAAAGCGCTCGCCTCAAAACATTTGGAAGGATGAATGAAATACAAGGATGAAGAACATTGAAAACGAAACATATGAAAGTTCTGTCAAATCTGTCGAAGGCATTTATGTCTATTGGTAGAAACGCTTTAGTGTTTCTAATAATTTATCTTTTCATAAACAGTAAATTTACAGAAAATAACTGAATCAATGATATTTCTTGTCGATAGGAAAGTGTTGACTGCTGAGCTGGTGAAACCCACATAAAATAAATGCTGACCGGTAGTGAAATAGAACCAGAGGTTGTATAACCTAATCAAATACATCAAGCTTGTGATTTGGTATATCAGACGTGCGTTTGATGCCGACATGGGACACTGATGAGTGGCACCAATACCAGGGGTAGAATTATGTCTACTTCATACTATGACTTACATCACCTCTTCATGTTTATCATGAATATAACCAAATTTTATTTGTCATGATCAACAAAACAGATGCTATTAATGTAGCAGGAACTTACTTTCCTAACTTCTTTATACTTTTTTATCCCGTTTATTTTGTCTTCTGCATCATAAGCTGAAAAGAAACCGAAACTGAAACCAAAGATAGTTGAGT